CTTACGTCACACAATGGGCGGGGTCAGCTAAATCTCATTTGCATTCGTTGGTGTTCGACATACATGTATGTAAAATAAATAAATAAATGAATAAAAGGTATAACAAAACATTTATTGACTGTGTTATCGGGCAAAGTGCGTTTTGTCGGACCCAAGAACCAAACTGTTTGCCTGAGGCCGTTAGGCCTCAGGCAAACAGTTTGGTTCTTGGGTCCGACAAAACGCATGTTGCCCTCAAACTCAGTCAATAAATGTATAATATTCAATGAAGATCCTAAGTATATACAGTTCTTCACACCTTCTTAAATAAAAAAAAAACATAACGATTCTAACGTCCTAAGATTCATCAAGACGTTATATGAAATAGGAGTACCTACATTCACTTGCTAGAGTACTTTTTGTTATCGTTTGATTGAGAATGTTAATATATTTCTCAAGATACCAGTCTCAAAGTCAAGATTTTTAAGTCGTTTATAGCAAAGATTTCATTGATATCAGATTTTTTTAGAACACAAACCCCCGGAAATTTCAGAGGTAGTATCAGGTACCTGGGAGGAGTAAGCATCCCCTGTCAACCGGCCATTACCCGCCTTGAGTCATATATATAGTGATTAAGTAGAAGAAAAACCGGTATTCCGAAGTCAAATTTATTAATAATTAAACAAGGACCTAGCAATTTGTATGCAACACGTCAGCCAAAATACGCTCTTATACATGTAGTAGGTACTATTTGTTAATAAGGTCATTATAACGACTACAGAGTTTATAAATTGTTGACTTTAACTTTTTAACCCAGCTAATCTGTCAGTAGCCAGCCTCGGTTTAAAATTGATAGTACTCAGAGCTTGCTCTTGAGTACCGAAAAAGTTGGGAGGTAAACCCCAAATGCAGGCGATAGTGCAATATTACTACATAAATAAGGAAAGCTGATTGATTGATTGATTAATTGTATGCTGATTTACGTCCCGTTTGAGAATTTTACACTCAAATAGAGACGTCATCATATACCGGTGAGGGGTTTCAAATTTGGATCTTTTACTCGGCACGTAGGGCCATTGAGCAGTGAGGGATCTTTATCGTGGCAACGCCTGCCGTGACAAGGGACCTCGGTTGATAAGGTCTCATCCGAAGGACCCGCAACTTTCACTTCAAAGTGTCGAGCGCTTGGTGAAGGAACAGTTGTTACCTCATTTTTATTGACTTAGGTCAGTCGCGGCCGAGATACGAACTCACGACCTTCCGATCACGGACCGAGCGTTCTACACAGAGCAATTAAAAGTTAACGGAAATGAAAATTCCTACAGAATTACAAGGTAGGTATGAAAGAAAAAGGCTTGGGCTACAATAAAAAAAACAGTCTTATTGATTGAATTGATATATATGGAGATAATGAACAGACCCAAACTCAAAAGTTCATTCAAACATTACAAATCAGGAGCAGAGCAAACACGGATCAGGTGCCATGGAGGAGTGAGCATCCTCTGCCGATCGGTCACGACAATGCCACGTGCTCTTTGTCACGATCGGGTAATAGTGGAAAATTCCGCATTGTGTAAGTAATGGCCGACCAAAAAGTACGAAAAAAGTCCATCAGCTTTTTGACTAAATGATAGATTGTATTTGCTGACAAGGACATTGTATTGACCATAGAATTTGCGAAATGATGACTTTAAACGAGAATGTTGGTATATTTTTGTTTCATCAACTTGTCAATAACTAACCTCGTTTTAGTAATTGCTCGGAAGTAGAGCATGCTCTTGCGTATCGAATCAACTGTCCTATATACATGTGATAATGGTACATTACTTATTAAGTAAGGGAAGTTTGAAAAGTTGAAGTCATCCCGTTTATCACAAAGCTTTGTTGTTAGGTTACCATTAACGACCAATTCCAGTAAAATATTCAAATATGAAACATGCAGATTTGTCAGACTCTGTGGTATCTTTTATTTCAAGCTCACTGGGAAATGGTGTCAATCAGTATGCAAAATAAAATAGAAATATTTTACTCAATAGAATGGCAATAACAATTCAACAAAATGCGCATGCGTCTGCATATATGATAATGCGTAGGTCATCCCAAACGCAAATATTCATTTAACACTGGCGTTTACTATTACGCAGAACAAAATGCAATATGTTGTTTAATACAATGGTGAATAGCCAAACATGTTTTAAGTGCAATTAACATTCTTGTGCACAAGTTCGCTCGCTGGCGCAAGGTGCTTCAAAAAGTGTACTTCATTACAAAACATAGCCTTCACGCCAGAGGAGAGGATGGCGCTGCGGCCATTTCCCATTTCATCTTGAGTATGATTTATGCTTTCATTTTCATGGTATTCTTCTTTTGTATCAAGCACCTTCCCTTGGTCGTGATCGCTGTGAACTTTCACTTCCTTATAGTTGAAGGCCACAGCAAATGTTTTCTTCTTTTCACATATAAGATTTTGAATAAATTCTGCTTCAAATGAATACAAAAATAGGTCTGCTAATAACGGGGCGAAATTGGTACCTTGGGAATTCCAACAGATTGTTGGAAGACCTGGTCTCCAAAAACCACATAGATATTGTCAATCTAAAACTCAAGCATCTTTTTAATATCAACTTCTGAGTACTTGTGTGTAAAATCGGAATGTTTTAACAACATGTTTTTGCAAATGACCAATGACAAGATAAGTAAATTTACGAGTTCCATTTTTATTGAAAAAGCAGCTGTTCATGTCAAAAAGGCTGGACTTTAATTTGTCGTGTGGAATGGTTGTATATAGAGTTGAAAAGTCCTAAATTTATGATTTCAAATTTTCCAAAACTTCCTTGGAATTTTTAAATATCCACCTCTGATTTACACCACGTCTCGAAATTATTGAGATGCATAGTACTCCTGAAGTTTCCCATTCACTGCTGTTAATATTTTAGTGAGGAGTAAAGAAAGGGGCTTGGTACATGTAGAACATTTAAATATTTTTGATACAAGCGACTTCCGAACTTCTATTCAGTTCTTCGAGATTGAACAGTGCCATACTTATTTTGATTCAAATAAATGGTGGCTATTGGGTTGAAGTTCGTATACTTAAGAATAATTCCTATCTCTCTGATTGGCTGCGATCCGGAATGTAGAAAAAATACTACGTTATACTCACCTGCACGTGTGAACTTAAGGATTTATTTTCTCTACATTGGTCTAAAAATAGATCGGGAAATTCCAAATTGATACAAATAGTTTTGGAAAGCTACAATGTATTTCACTTGCTACTGACTGCCATCAAGCGCGGATCCAGGAATTGAAGTTAGAGGGGGCGCCAAAAGTAGGCAGGGGGTCTGAGGGCCGCCTTGAGGCCCCCAGTGCAACAGTGGGTCCAGGGCGAAGCCCTGGTGGGGGCCCAGGGGGCGAAGCCCACGGAAGCTCCTGGATTCTAGAGATTTTGTAGGGTAAAAATGAGGTCTACCGATTGGACATTTTTACATTTTCTCGACGGAAGTATGATTTATGCTAACTTTGACAATTTTAGGGGGGGGGGCGCCGGGTGCGCCCCCCCCCTTAAATCCGCCACTGGCCATTCAGGTGAACATAACATTAGGGAATATATAATTTGGGTTGCAGGGGACCCTCCCCCAAAACTTTTTTTCTGAATATATATTTTTACTTTTAATTTACACTTAAAACATTCAGTGAAAGGCTGGTCCACTACTTATGAACCTTAATCCCCAACCCCTTACCTCACCCAACTCCAAAATAAAATTTGAAGTCAAAAGAATTCTCTTTTCGTGGGGGCTAATCAAAGATTTTTCAGCTTTCATTTTCCCCAGATAATTCTCCCCTTCAAAATCTATCCTATAAAAGAACTTATCATTATTTTTTTTTCATAGCAACTAATTAAAAGTAGATTTGAAAAATTCCAAATAAATACGACTGGTTATGTTTATAAAGCCCTGCTTCTTTCATTGCATTTGGCTAGGGCTTACCAAATGTAAACAAGTAAGATGGCATGAAATGCTTAACAAGGTTGTAACATTTCATCATTGAATCACAAAAAAGGTAGCGACTGTTCCTTTGCCGGGCGCTCGGCACTTTGAACTTAAAGTTGCGGGTTATTTGGATGAGACCCTAAAAACCGAGGCCCCAAGTCAGGGCAGGCGTTGCCTGTCGCACGATAAAGGTCCCTCACTGTCAATGGCACCGAGTGCCGAGTAAAGCATACTTAACATCCAATACCTGAAGTAAGTATGTATGAAAATGCAGCATTTGAAATCTAGACTGTTACAGCGAAACATACCAAAACCATCCTCCTTACATCTATGATCAAAAAGAGTGTAGAGGTCCTTGAAAAGAAATCTGCTCCAAAACTTTAACCTTGGATGACCATGCTGAGGGTCTTACAAAAGCTCCAACTTCAGTGAGGTGAGCTAAAAATAAAATAGTTACCATCTTCGAAGGTTATAAAATGCCCTGCACTTGCAATCCAGTTGCCCTCTGAATAATCTCAATCTTAAACCTTGACATTTGTCTAATGACCACCCTTTCAATAAAACCCAAACATCTTCTATCTATACATTTGATGTCTGTAGGTTAGAATATCCAGTTATTTGAGTTTGACCTTCATCCTTGAGAAAGTGACTCTAGGAACAGAAGGCATCTTCTTCTATCAATCATCATTTATGTAATTAAGTTTGAATATGTAGGCTACAAAATAAAGTTATCCATTTTATAAAGGTCAATTATGGTGATGGTGACTATCTTGACCTTTGACCTTGACCTGTGACTTTAAAACTCAATCCTCATATTAATAAGTATGAAGTCAGTAGTTTAAAAGGCACTCTCGTTATTGTGCAAACTGTAGGAACAGGTGGAAAGACACTTTGTTGGTGAAGTATGAGCCAGATTGGGCCAAGGAGAGAGAAGATATGCTCTGGACAAGACATCTTGGACAGACAGACGGACGGACAGACTGATCACTATAGGGCACCCGCAGAGCGGGGCCCTAATAATTAAAACAGCAAGGAGACACCTTCAAAATTTAATGTAGTCATAGATGTTAAGTTACACATGAATCACAAGCCAAATTCTGATAAGCATGGTTATACATAGATCAAAATTATACCAGTCAGAGGAAAAATTTCATTTCGAAAACAGATTAACACACTAAGAAGGTCATGAGAGCAACAACACTGTACTACAACAAAATTCAACTCTGTTGCTATCATAATAAAAATATATTTATCTGATATGATATACTTGGCACTGACTGAACACACTTAAAGAGAGAGAAGAAGGACCCTGAATCTTTTATATTCACTGCATAAAACTATATCATTTTTTCGCACTAAGTTTTTCTTGACAATTTACACTATATCATATATTCTTTATAAGGTGATAGCAATACATACATGTATTAAGCAAAGCATGCATACAACTTTATTATACTCTATTTAAACTAGCATATGAAATGTGTTCTCTTCTGAGATCAGAATATAGTATTCTATTCCAGCCTCTTTTTGTCATCATTTGTTGTGATTATTAGAACCAGATTGCTACACACAAGTTAAGACCAAAAATGCATTAGCAGAATAGTATTTTTTACCACTTTTTGGGTGATATATTTACAAGTAAATATTATTCCTTTCAGCAGCATTAAGGTATTCAATGTATAATAAAGGGATTTTGAACAATTTTGAATCATTTTAAGTTAGTTAAAAATACATTCTTAGATAACGATTAAAGTGAAATGAACCAAATTCACATGACTGATAACATATAAAAGGCTGGTCATTTTGCACGTTAAAAGTTTTTGAAGAGTTATCTCCCCTTGATGCAAAGAAGAAAATTTTAATTTCGTCAAAATATCTGTGGTAAATGATTAATTTTATTTCATATTTTAATAAAGAGAGAGTCTATGCATATTTTCACCAAGAGCTTTTTATGAAATTCAAATTACTTTTTACAATATCTTAATAAAACATGCACTTCCCATAGACTTCAATGTAAAATTCAAGGTGTAATTAATTTGACAATAATCAAAATTATGTAAATTTCTTTGGTTGAGAATTTTTATTTCATAATACCTTCAAAATGATACCTTAATTACAAATATAGGACCGTTCATTTATTATATACAAAATATGGTCGTTATACATTGAATACCTAATTCTTTTTTATTTTCCAAGTAAAAAAGACAGATGTATGTAAGAATTAAGCTGACAATATATTTTTTTGGTTGAAATAACTATCCTTCACTTGCCTTAAATGTACCATATTTAGTAATGTATACATATTTATTTTTACACAACAATTTTTAAGAAACCAAATTAGCTGTCTTATTTTCTTTGTAATTATTCAAATTATGCAAGTGATTGTGAAACAGTATCCATTTCTGCAGATAATATTAAAGTAAGGAATAAATATCCATGTATTTATTTGATTGAACAACAGATAGATGGCAAAAGAAATATCTATACTTAAAAGTTAAGCCCTACTGATGGCAATGATAATGAATTTGATCACTTCATATCTTACTAATTGATGATAAACATGCATATAGTTTTATTTTATAATAAATCTACAATTTTCCACTTACTCTTGAAGAATTTTCTACACTTTGTTAAAACTTTTGAAGCTCTTCAAAAATCTGAACTGTTTTGGTTTTGAAATTTGTATATAAATATACATAGAATTTTATATTCAAACATACAAATCATATATATATATATACAAAGTCTGTGGCACTGTTTCAATACAATTATTTTCTTAAGTAATTTCTGTGAACCAAAACAGAAATTTATGTGCATATGTATAATTGTAACTGGGTTTTATATATAAAAAATCAAAAATCACAACAAAACACATAAAATTTGCAAAAAATAGTCATAGGGTTATGTCAGAATTTTTTCCTAATAATCACCAAGACAACCTAATTTTCACTTCTTTCTACAATTAAACAGCCTGACCTTGAAAAGGATATCACAAAGCATTCACAGTACAGAAAATTACCTTAATTTGATTAGTAATTTACTTACCACATACCAGACTAATCTGAGTGTGTGTGTGTCTGTATGTGACATCTGCACAATGCCTATACAGTGTAGTATTCTTTTCACAGTATCAAAATTCATAGGTAAAATAAGTCTCTCATTTCTCATTTTTTAAAAAAAAGTCAATCCCTAGCATTAATTTCAAATGATAAAAAGGAATTCATATCTGTAAATTCAACTGTAGCTTTAAAATCCATGACTGTGGGATAAATCATTTCAAATAATTGATTTTTACACCATGTTATTAAATACATGACCTAATGTATAACCTTGCAGGTGAAACCCCAAGGTTACGTTTGCAATAGCACTAAAAACCTAGAAAAATAGAAAAAAAGAACCTGATAAGTTACTTAAGTGAATGTCAAAAACGACAGCAGTCTTTCTTTTGAACACAACAACTGAGTCTTCAACCATCAACCTTAGTCTACTAAACAACCTACCACACTTACCATCAACTACAGCTTAGTCAACATACCTACTTAACTCAACATCAACAACAGCCTACAAAATATCAACCATCAACAACAGTCTACTAAATACTTACAACATTTACCACCTTTGTCACCAGAAATGGCTGTACAAAGTGCTATTATAAAGAGACAACTTTTAAAAAGTAAAGGGAATTTTCCAATACAGTAAAATTGTTCAGTATGAAAACAGAGATTGGGAATTAACAGATATAGCCAAGTTTTTATTATCCCTGGCAAAATTTTTAGCAAAACCTTGTAATTTTTTTGGTTATAAGAAGTCCTATAAAGTCAATAAATTTACTGATGCAGCAAATTTATTCTGTGTCCCATACAAGTTTAAAATAATGAAATTCAAATCCTTTAAAGCAAATCTTTCAAGATGTCAAAATTTAAAATACAGACCTGATATTTTTGGCTTTTATGTTTGAAATTATTCATCAGAAAACTTTAGTACTCTAATGTTAGTTTTGTATTCAATACTTCCCTGAACCAATTTGCTTTCATACTTGAAAGAAACATGCATATAGCAAATTTGCTTAAGACATGTTTACATGTAATTTAGTGAAAACATCTATATAGATTGTAATGAATTGCTGATATAGCAAAGTAAATTGACAGGTCCATGGGACCTAAAAGTATAAATCTATAACAATTCATTTTGGGTTAAACTTAACCTTTTGAATATTAAAAAGTAATATGATAGTGCATTGCTGTTCACATCTTCAGTTACAAGTAAACTTATTTTTATGAATAACCTTTCTTTGTGCATACATAAAAATCTATTCCATAAATATACACACAAATTTATGTACCTGTACATGATTAAGCTACTTTGTTACTTAATAAATAACTATAAATAAAATCTTAATATATTAATTAAAAAGGGCACACTATAAAAAAAATATCAAGGTTCGACAAATATCACATGCATTGAAAGAATCTCCATCTTAAACATATACTGAGTCATCTCCATCTTCAGCTTCTACAATGTCACCACTAGGTGGAGCTAATTCCTCTACTTCCTGTTCATCTTCTACATCCAGTAGTTGTAAGCCATCCTTATTTTCTGGGAGCACTGACTGGTCTACTCTTGTAGGCAACACAGTCTCTGGTGGAAGCATGAGTTCTTCACTATGAAAAGGGGCTGTTATGTCCTCTTTCTGAGCACTATGATTCCCAGCCTCACTTTGAATCTGACTCTCACTCTTTGTGGCCCAGGTATCCATGAATGACTCTAGTGGTGCATTGACTTTTTCAGCCCGTGGAGTGTCAAAATCCTTCCGCTCAGCAGGTAAAGACAGATCTTGGGGTGGATTTACCTTGAATGGTTTTGTATCATTGACACAAACATTCAGAGAATCCAGAAAGCCGTCATCGGGTTTTAATGTAGATAAAAATTTGTGACAAGCATCATGTTCAGAATCACTTTCTGGAGAATTCTCTGTATGAACATCTACATCTGTATACTCTAACGAAACGGCACCCCTATTACACGATTGTCCTGGATAACCCAAAGTTATATGCTCTGGGGTCTCTGGGCTCTGTAACAGAAGAATATGTTCATCACCTGGTGTGTTGGCTGCCAACAGTCCCAGGCTGTTTTTGAAGCCATAAGCTTGGTCCCTGATTGATTGGTGTAATCTGCTACTGTACCCTGTTGGTCCTGGAAGAGAAGGGAGGAGATCTGTATCCTCCTCAGGCACTTTAGTGCTGGCCAGGAGAGCCAAGTTTTTCTCCTCCATATCTTTGATTTTGTCAGACTCCCCTGTGTGAAGATTAGAGACACTGATGTCTTTGATGATCCCAAAGCATGAGTTTGAGCTGGTTCTTCTGGGTGATGTGGGTTTTGCTTGACTGTTTAACGGTAAGTGGTCCCCTGTTGCATCAGGAAGGGGCCAGAGAGATGATCTGGGGGTAGTTGGGGTTTGGTCCTCATTTGAACTCCTCCTTTCAGGATCAACTGCACAAAATGGAAAGTCATTAACTAACTTTATCTGTTTCATCAAATATATGGTAATTATAGTATCTTTCATACACAATTTTCAGAAAAGCTAATGTTGTATTTTTAATTCAAACACTTGTAATTAAACTGTATTTATAAAATATAAAAGTAAAATGTAATTAAGTCTTTTATTGGCTGAAGCTACATCTTTCTCGTATTGTGCTTTGTTCTAACAGTTAATAAGCAAGAAATCTTTTAATACAAGAAAAGGAAAAACATGCACTTATACAAAAGCTTAATGTAAACAATGTTTACTTATTTATCAGAAATAATTGATTACCCTGAAATTTTTCCCTCTCTAAATGCTTTAAAGACATAATAGAAAATAGATACATGTATCTGTAAAACTTCAAAAATTTCAGAACCATTTTTACATGATATAAAAGATATTCTGAATATGCACATACTGCATTTCTCAAAGAACATACCAAAATTGCAATTGATACAGTCATCATGATCTAAATCCTCGACACTTCGGTTAGGAACACTTTGAACACAGAGTGCCCCTGTGTTGTCAAATCGACTACGCGGTTTTACTGCACCCCTGTCATGTGACCTCTGATCACTTCTCATTGTCTCCTGCAATTCTGGAATATGGCATAAAATTCACATCAGGCATAAGGTAAAGACAGTTCTTAATGGCTAACAGTCAGAGGAATTGCATTTTGAAAAAAAATTGTTTTATTTTTAGTACATGTGTGCAAGTAATTGCGACTACCAAACCCAGTTTGACAAAAATCAAAGTTTGTTAATACATGTACATGTACAGTAAAACTTGTCTAATCTGGACACCACTGGTTCTTTAGAAATTGGCTGAATTAGACAACTTTCTGTATTAGGCAACACTTTTAACAATAGAGCTTATGGAAAAGGAATAAACGATACATGTATCTCCATCATAACAGGCAAGATTTCAAAATAAACATCCAGATTAGACAAGTTTTACAATATTTTTATATGTATCTTTAGCTTTTCTCTGTTTGAACGTGAACTGAAATCAGACATAAACTGTCAAAGTAATATATATTTGTCATCAACAGCATCACCATATGAAATGAAAATTTGATACTCTGATACTCAAGATTATATGTCATTATGGTGTCTGCATTATTCTAAGTTTTAACTGAATTTGGAAAAGAAATGAAGGAAGACAAGCATTTTAAAAAGTTATTTACAGGTAGACAAACACACTGACAGTCAGACTGACTTTACAAATGCAGCTCTTCTAGTCCTACCAATCAGTAGATCTTAATTCATAATAATCCTTGTTACAATTACTGAAGTTATACTTAAGTACTGCAGTAAAATTACATAGCAATAGAGGGTATATTTGGTGTATGATTCACAGTGTGCTTTTGACCTGCTAACCTGTGGGACTGATGGATGAGATTTCCAACACCCTCTGAAGTTCTACATCTAACTCCTCCAAAGCAGCTTGAATTGTTTTCTTTCCTTTTCCTTTACCCTTTGCTTTGGACCCTGGGGATTTCTGTTTGGGGGACTTTTTCTGTAACCTTGGTGACCTTTGTCTCACAGTTTCTTCTGCTCCTAGTGAAGGGGAGGCCACAGCATCTTCAGGGGGCATGCTGCAAAATTAAAAAAAATGAATTTTCAGGGAAAATATACTACAGGTTATAGGTTGTACGATGAAAAAAAAAAAAGACTTAATCTTTCAAATCAATACAAAAAGGCATGATATATTTCATTGTTTCAACTCACTAAAAACTTTTCCTTAATTTGTATTGATGTATTTATTCAACACAAAAGTAAATATTTGTGGGTTAACCAGTTATAAAATAATGTCCAAGTATCATTCTATGACTTGCCATCAGTTAGAAAGTGACAAGTTTCCACCATCTACATAACCTTCATCAATAAAACATAGGTAATCAAAGATTATGAAGCTCACCTCGACGAATGTTATCTTTAAGTAAGGCAAATTTCACATCATATTCTTTTTTCAGTTAGTGTACATCCCAAGATCAATATCCATGCAAGTTTGGTTTAAGTACGACTTACAGTTACTTGGAAATAGACCTGTTCAAAAAATGTTTATCCTGTTTACTAATCAAGAAAATTTTGGTCAGTTCCAACATCCAAAGCAAGTCTGGAAGTTTTCATCCTTAGATGCACCATCTATGCAAGTTTAATCATAACAGGCCATAATGTTATGTAGCTACTCCAAAAAAATTATCCTGGTCGCTCATCTGGAATATGTAGGTCAGATTCGGAATCCAAAGCAAGTCTGGAAGTGACCATCCCTAGCTACATCATCCATCCTTATTTGGTTAAAATATGGCTAAAATTCACTCATGTGGAAATCTAGGTTGAACCCAGCATCCAAAGCAGGTTGGTCAGTGTACATCCCTAGATGCATCATCCATGCAAGTTTGGTCAAGGTAGGGCTTATAGTTACTTGGAAATGGACCTGCTCCAAAAACTTTAACCTGGTCACTCATCTGGAATATCTAGGTCAGATCCAGCATCTGAAGCAAGTGTGGTAGTGTCCATCCCTAGATGCATCATCCATGCAAGTTTGTTCAAGGTAGAGCTAATAGTTACTTGGGAATGGACCTGCTCCAAAAACTTTAACCTGGTCGCTCATCTAGAAAATGTACGTCAGATCCAGCATCCGAAACAAATGTGGTAGTGTCCATTCCTAGATGCATCATCCATGCAAGTTTGGTCAAGGTAGGGCTAATATTTACTTGGGAATGGATCTGCTCCAAAAACTTTAATGTGGTCACTCATCTGGAATATCTAGGTCAGATCCAGCATCTGAAGCAAGTGTGGTAGTGTCCATCCCTAGATGCATCATCCATGCAAGTTTGGTCAAGGTAGGACTTATAGTTACTTGGGAATGGACCTGCTCCAAAAACTTTAACCTGGTCACTCATCTGGAAAATCTAGGTCAGATCCAGCATCTGAAGCAAGTGTGGTAGTGTCCATCCCTAGATGCATCATCCATGCAAGTTTGGTCCAGGTAGGGCTTATAGTTATTTGGGAATGGAGTTGCTCCTAAAACTTTAACCTGGACGCCGACGCTAACGCCGACGCCAGGGGTATAGCATAAGCTCATCTCGACTTCGTCGAGGTGAGCTAAAAAAAATCCACGCAAGATGTTGCTACTTTTTGTATCAATTTGCACGCATAATGAGTCTGTTTGGATTTATTTGCACTCTTCTCCTTTCAGACTGTATACATGTATGATTTCTATGGCTACTTACTGTAATGATATAGAACTTCTATCTGCTGTAATGATACCCTGATCATGCAGAAACTGTAGCCTGGACATCTCCAGGGCTCGTAATAAATCCATCTGCTCGTCCATAATTACCTCCTGGACGGGCTCTGAGAAAAAAAACAAAAATTAGCCCATTGCACTAAATGACAACATGGATACACTGCATGAAGAGTCGGGCTAAAAAGGGGTCAGAAATTCCTATCTCTGTGTATGTACCATGATTACACTATATAAAACTAAATTTTACTGTGAAGATTCTCAAGCTTAGTGGAAACATGGTCTCTCTTGTGACAAGGTAAAGTAAAGTGGAAAAGCCTAACTTCAGAGTGAAGCAATAAAGCCGTGAGAACAAGCTTTCACCTCTATGCAATCAAAGTGTCACACAATTACAACTTGAAAATTTGAGGTTAACACTGTTGTCCACCTTTAAATATCACTGACCTGGTTGCTCAGGGTTTTCTATTTTGTCCTCGTACATGCACTGCCGACTACAGTAGCCGTGAATCTCTCCAGTGCGAGGGTTCCTAGCTCGTGGATTATCACAAGACATCTTCTGACACTTCCCTTAAAACAAAACATAAATTTCTTCTAAATGAATGAGAGACACAAATATGATCAAAATGCCTCTTTCTTTACACAGGTAGTATTACAAAGAACTTGTTTACTGGAAAAAGCCAATTAAATAATCAATGCATTCTATTCCTAATTTTTGTAACCTGTTTTTTTTTTTTTTTTAATAAAGAATGGCATTAGATTTACCCTCTTCAACTGTATAGAGGTCATCTGTGTCTGAGTCATCACTATTTGGCCAGTCTAAGACGGCCATTACATTGGTATGGCGACCAGATGCATCCTTGATCCAAGGTTTAGCTGGGTCAACCTCTTGTATAGAAGCCAGAATAGCTTTTCGTAACTGTTCCTAAAAACACCAAGAGAAAGGCAGATGAGATATCTAAGTACAAAAAATGCTATTTAATATAATTAATAAAGCACTTCAAGCTGATTCAAACAGTGCTACACTAATCATCTTTAAATAATTCATAAGAATAAATTTCAACCTATTTCAAAGTACATGTACCCATATGCATGTATTAAGAAGAGAAAATAGGTATTTTTAAAATTTTAATCTGAGCAACTTTTCCTTTAAACTTTAATCTATCAACTCACATCCTCCGTTTCCATGCTGTATTTTCGCTTGCGATGTTTACGAAGCCCTGGTGGGGTTTCAGGGGGTACCAGCCCTTTAGATATTGCAAGGATAAATTCATGCCTTTTCCTTTGTACCAATTGAGCCTGCTCAATGATGCGTTTCTTGGGAGTTCGTAAATATAGGCGATTAACCATCTGAGACAGGATTTCTGTTGTCTCTTCAAGTTCGGTCTATAATAGGGGAGGTAATCAGAATTGACTTCCAACAAGAACTAATAATTAATTTTAGTATTTTTTAAATAAAAATATGGAATAAATTGTCTTTCATCAATTATTCTCCACTTCAAGTTGACATAAGTTGGAAAAATAAAACATTTTTCAAGTACCTGCATAAACTCAAACACAATTTTCATATAGCCTGGTCCATCCAGATAATATCCATACACGTATGAACACTTGAGAACTCGGCGAGCCTTAAGCAGCTGTTGGACAGCATGCTCAACAAACTGAGTCTCTGAGTTGGCTGATGCTGTCAAGAAAACATCACACCAATGAGTTCATTGTAAGATAATAACAAGTAGAAAATGTACACTGCTCTTTGACAGGTCAACATGTGGAGCCACTTCAGCATTTTGGAGTTAAAGACATGATTAAGTCACAATGGCGTCAAGTACAAGTCTTGGCTGAACAATTCTGGACACAGTGGAATCCGATAATTTCAATAGATTAAATAACAGTACTCAAATTGTCTTCATTTTAAAGGAGAAAACGGAAGTGGTCAACTCTTACCTAGGTCAGTAACAGCCTCAGCTAGTTTCATCATTTTGTTCTTTGTGGTGTTTAATAAAGGTTCCTCCAACTGAAAAAAAACCCCAAGAAGTATGGAAATTAATATTAAATAAACTTTTTTCTACATTGGAAAAAGTTGTGTACAGTGTAAGCATGTTAGACATACTGTAAACATACATTTTCCATGGGATAAAATTTCAGCAGAATCACAATTACACAGATTTCTTAGAATCCCAATATAAGCCTTAAATGTACTTTGAGAATCCTGGGACAAATTTCTGTGGAAAGTTTGACCACATACATAGTGTAAATTAATACCATACAGAAGAAAGTACTTCTACAGTATGGTGAGAAGTAGACAGAAACTGATAATATAATATACATGTATGTTATTGATAATATGAGGGATTATAGAACATACATGTACATACATGAATGTGGTCCTCATTCGTTTTTTTTTTTGAATGTCAATGTCAAAAGGTGTCTTTTGACAATAAATAAATTTAAATAAGCTAAATAACTTTTCAATAAAAATATTATTAATATGAGCCTAACATTTACTATAAAATACAGTGGAAACTATCTTAATACATGTACAATTCAAACTTGAGGAAATTTTAGAGAGACTCTTTTTTTCCAATCCAGTAAAGGCCTAATACATACTATATATTTAAACTAAATATATATGTACATGTATGTATTTTAACCAAGCAATGTACAGACATATTAAATCAGAACAACATACCTTATAGCTGTTTTCATGGTTTTTGAAGCGAGTATAGAAATGAACAAACTTGTTTAATTCCTGCATCTTCTGATTTTGTTCTTCTGCCTACAAAACATAAATTTTCATTACTTCTCAGGCATTATTGTTTTTTAAGTGAAATTTGTGGTTGCTGTTCATTTTGATGCGAGTAAATTGAGTTTTCGAATACATGTAGCCATTAAAGGTCAAAAGCCATGACTATATAGACAGAGATTTACTGACCTCACTTTGTGCTTTTTGAGTAGCTTCCTGAACCACCTTCACCGCCTCATATCGGTTACACTTAAAGTAACCCCCAGTACTAGTGTTATGTCTCTTCCACTGGTCCAGACACACCCAACAAAAGTCATGTTTACACTAAAATACGATTAAAAATAATAAGATAGAATTACCAAAAAATTGTCTGCATCATAGTAGAAAAACACTAAAGACACACTTATTCAACACTCTGTTGCTTAGGTCTTATTTACATAACCAACATTTCTGATATACATAACTTGACGTTTGCACAAGATACTGTCATACATGTACCAGTTTACAAAACATGGCTACCTTTGAGCATTTCATATGATTGCATCCCTCATTTTTTTGGATGGGAGATTTACAGTTAGGACAGGGTTTAGAGTTGGTTACCAGCCACAAGCAGTTAGCAGCCGCATCGGTCTCCTCCTCGGTTCCACTCACTAGTGTGTAATAGACATTGTTGTAGATCAGTCACACCATGTTATACGCTACACATGTATGTGTAAGAAAAACGTGTCTATGAATATGTATCATAAATTAGTCTGCTATATTATCATTTCATGATTCAAAAGTTAGCAACAACCAAAAATACTTTCATTGTAAAAAAATACATACATATCTACACACATATATGCATACACACAAATACATGTATAAACAATTGGACTCATTTGTATAAACAATTGGACTCATTTTAAGAAACAAAGAAATTTATAAATATAAATGAACTCTTACTTTCTTCTGGTCTAATTTCGCCGATCTTCTGAAACCATTTTGTCCAATTATCACAACTGCTTGGTTCATGAGCTTCTCCCAGACAATCCCTGACAATATAAAAGAATGCTAACCACATACAAAAGAAGACAAAGACTTAGCATGTCCTATGACCTTGGTCAATCTTGCTTTTCCTGTAAACAACCCAAATGCTTTAGCCAATCATGAGGCATTTTTCTTGTGACTGGGGAGAAAGTTTTTACTTTAAGGATTATTTTCCATAATAATATTGGGGGAAAACATGCAAAAACGAATGAGGCTAGAAATAATAAAATGCACTGCTATTTTCCCAATTGGAAAAAATTCATATTACATTTTAAAAAGAATTTACATAAGAAGTACACGTGCTTGATAATACATTTAAAAGTTATCGACTGAATATCAGGGATGTATGTCCACCCTTGGTCTTTGTGTGGTAAAGCAGACCAAACTTGCGAGTTTCACATGTGCACAAAGAACAACTGAAGGCATATATTCTGATGTTCAGTCAATAACATTTTTTATTACATATTTTAATGCCAATACATTTTTTTTTTAAATTAAATTTATATGATTGGAATCTCTTTGAATTTCTGGTCATAAACCTCCATACAACATTAGTATAACTGCCAGTTCAGTGGATATTTGTGATGTCAAATATACAGGTATATGAAGTCATTAAAAATGGAGAGACAGGTAGGAGAATGCATTGTGACATCACAAACACAAAACTAGTCCCTGGGAATTTAAAGTACAGGCTGATATGGCTCTGTAAATGCTCGGGTAGTCTCTATAAATTCTATTGAGAAATATATTAAAATGTGTAATAAGTTAATTTCATTTTTGCTCAAAGTGTTCTAGCTGTAAAAGCAAGCTTAGCAGTTTCATGTCGTAATTATTCTGGTAAATACTGTAATAAACAGTATCTTCTTTTTATGATTACAGACAAGTAAAAGTACCAGCAATAATAGTGTCCATTTCCACAATCCACAGCGCGAGAAGTGTCCACAGGGATTTTCTTGTTCCGCTCCTCCTGGTCAGGTAGTTTTACAGCCCGACCACACCCAGGAAATGGACACCACTTTATGCTAGGGTTGCTGTCCACGAAAGCCTAGAATAAATCAATCTCTAGTCTCATTCTTAAGAGTCAGAAAAACACATACAGCATGAAATGAGAATAGACACTGCATACCTTGATGTCAAACTGTAGATATCTTCTGGCCATGTCTCGTGAGACGATGCCCTCTATCAGTTCGACAGGAGCCAGTTTATCACACTGATAGGCCGGACATGTTATATTGTGAGCATCTCCCTCCTGTATCTTGAGATTCAAGTACCTGATTAAAAGAAAAATATGATTCAATATTAATATATGAGGAAGACATATGATTTTCTATGTACAATGATTTACTGAATCAATTCTTATAATCTGCATACTCATTTATACCAGGTTATCAATTTCTATCCGACATGCTTCTTTCAACAGATTTACAATGCAATGTTATAATATCTATAAAGAGTATCTGTTTTGAGGAATATCAAAATAACTGGTTAGGAACACTGCTGGTAACTGAATATTTCCTTCAAGTGCAAGATTATACATGTACTTTTACAGATGCTGCAAACATTGTGAGTTTATATCATTTCTGTCAAAACTGAAACTCAATTTTTGTTGCTGTTGATCTCTAAAAATAACTAACTGAAAAAGACTCACTCTCTCCAACAATCTCTGCAGAACATGTGATCACAGGTCATGCTCACATGATCTTCTGAAATCACGAAGGACTCCATGCAGATATCACACTGTAGAAACAAAATACAAAACATGCCCCTAATAAAGTTTAGAAGACTGGAATCATATATAAACTGTCAGAATGATGTCAACATTAAATTCTTACCTATAATGCTCAAATGCAAAGAAACTGTTAATTTTAATTTTACTCAAACTCTAGAAAATAAAACCGTAGTCAGAGTGAAGAGACTTTACACAAATCTTATAATTTAAACTTACAATTCCTGTGGAGTTTTGAGTGTCTGGACGATGTTGATCTGTGTCCAGGGAATGCTGTACCACTGGTTTATCACAGAAAACACTAGCTGGAGGATGGACGCCAGACTTCTCACAACACTGTAAGGGATCGGACATCCAGGCTTCCAATAACATCTCACGAGACCACTCTACAAAGTACAAAATCCATCAGACATAAAATCTATGTGGCACATTACTGCGGGTATTTATTCCTTTCTTTAAGTCATTACAATGTATCAAATAAATCTTCCATAAATGTGTACAAGCAATTATGACACAAGATTGAAATTCTGAAATAAAACTTTAATTTTCATATCTAGTAGAACTCAAATTTTTGATCAGGTATTGATGCAACTGATTACATCAAAAATACAAAAAAAATCTCCCAATCTGTTAGCCTCAAGTCACAATACGGCATTGATCATTGTTTAAATCTGCACTTAAGCAATCAATGATAAATTTACAATAACAAAAATTTTGATAACTTGCCATGATTTCGGAGCAGTGCTTCTGCTGTAAACAGTGGCACACTCAGCATGTCTGCTGTTTCCACAAGTAGCTGATCTTTAGCTTCCTGTAAATCCTGGGCCCGTAATCCACTGTACTCCTGTAATGTCCATTCAAAATAGGAAATTCTAAGATCTGATTACAACATCAAACACAGAATTATAATATGATACAAGAAGAGATGTTTGTGAAACACTTATGCTCCCCCCCCCCAAATAATTGGAATTTTTCTAAGTCCAGGGGACATAACTCTGTCAAAGATAGTTCGATCGTACCCAAAACAGAACTTGACCTAGATATTTTTATGACAAATCTGTATATCAAATTTCATTTCAGTATGTGCAACCTCTGCAAAGAAAATGAACAGAAACTGCAAATAATTGGAATTTTCCTAAGTCCAAGGGGCATAACTCTGTCAAAAATTGCTCGATTGATCTATATATTCTTATGATAAATCTGTATACCAAATTTCATTTCAGTATGTGCAACCTCTGCAAAGAAAATGAATGGAAACTGTTGGTGGACCGGCAGACAGACAGACCAACAGCAGCAAAGCAATATGCCCTCCCTTCTTCGAAGGGGGGCATTAATATGTCCAAAAAACAAAAAACAAAACATACCTCTGGTTCCAAAATGGAGGCCACATCATCAGTTTCATCTTCATTCCCAACACTCTGTAAAACAAACATTTTGAAATATATGTATATAATTCATTAACCTCAGTTTTCACAATATTTTTCACCCATCAATGATATAATTTTACTTATTATATCTGACTTACAGAAAAAACCATTTTGGACTCTAGATAAAGAGCGATTTCTGGATGTGATCCTGCCTCTGCACAATCGCAGGGGGTCTGTCTGTCCTTGTTCTCGATAAACAGGGGGGCACCAGATTGGACCAATTTCTACAAGATAAAATAAAGAAAATGTATAATAGGTAGAATATTTGTAAAGGTTACTCTTATATCAAATGAATGTTTCAACAAACATCATATAGATTCTTTTTTCCTTCAATACCTACTTCTACACAGTATTTCAGTCCTGACAGAGCAGCATAATGAAGTGCAGTGTTGTCATTCTGAAAGGTATACAAGCACATATCAAATCTACCAAATGCTTTACTTTGGAATTCCATACATAATATGGGGCTTTCAAAAGATTTGAAACAGGTGGTACTTTTACAAAAAATAGGAAGGACCTGGCAGAAGTGATTTAACTGAATATTTTGAAATGTTATCGATTTTTTCTTCCCTGAATATTTTTTGGCCACTACAAGTCTGATTTCAGCCAGGTAAAAGTTCCAGGTACCAGCAGATTTTGAAAGCCCAGATAATATCTTAAAGCATATACTTAGATGGTTGATGAAAGACAAACCTCATCCTGTGAGCCTAGATTTACCCTCTCCCTCTCTCCATCTTCAGTTTCTGGTCCCCTCCACTTCAGCAGAATCAGAAGGCAGTCTAACCTCTTCCTCTGCACGGGGTAAAACTGGGCATGTTCTGGCTTCTCCATGCAAACACATATCAAACTGGTTTCTTTCTTTCCATTTGTCTTGTTTGGATTACCACTATGGTCATGTAGGAAAATTCTAATGAAGATAATTTTAAAAATAACCGGTTTTAGTGCTCATTAACTTATATATCTTCATTTTTTGTACATAAAAGTGTCTTTAATATATATATATATTTTTCTTGCACAGTATAGTATTGACTTCTGAGTTCTATCTAATTCTAGTTTGAACAGTAGTAACTAAATTAAGTAAATGCTAAATTTTATCCTGCAACCATTGCTTGCATTGACCAAATAAAGGTAACCTAACAAACCAAAGCTATTTCGGTCAATGCCGGAATATACCTTGTGCATTCCGATGTTTTTAAAGCATTGTGACATCATATATATATTGAATTTTTTTTGCCATAGTGTTATAGCTTCAACTGCAGAAATGTGCCTTAATTTGTTGAAAATAACTCATTTTGGAGGTTAAATGTAAAATGATTTTACAGGATAAACAAATTACATGGTTATTGTTTTGAAAAAGAAAGTAATTTTTGTGCTAGGGCCGAAAACATGTTAGAGCGCTCAGCAATCCCTGCCCTCTATTATGTTTTCTTACCGTCATCAAATATTGTCTATTTTTCAAGACAGTAACCACTATTTTAAAAATGATGATTAAATGAATTAATTAATCTTCCAAAGAAGAAAACATAACAGTTATTCTTACTGTATCGAAATCTAGCAGTTTTAATTTTCTCTTAAGATTCATGTACTTTATACTTGTTTGCATCAGTAAAGATTGAATACCCTTGTTTGCATCAGTAAAGATTGAATACCTTAATAAACTTTTCATAGCATGTTTTGCTGCATAATGCAGAGGAGTTTCATGGTTATGATGGTCACCATAGGAAGAGTTTGGGTCAAGTCCCTTCCTGAGATCACTGTTGCTGTTATATAAGTGAAGTGCTGCCACTTCATCTCCATTGCTCAGGTGTTTGCGGAATTTGGAGGAAGAACTCCCCATCCTTAGGACTATTTTCCCCTAGTTTACCCATCCATGACAATTCTTGGTCTATTCATCTCACATTCTGGATAGGTATTTACATCCTAAAAATTAATTGTTAACGTAAATGTACATTGTATGACATTTTGAAAAAGATGTGGATGCAGAAAAGCTGCAAAATATCAAGGCCTTAACATCTCGTCAGACTTGAAGTGGACTCAACATATAAATAACATTGCCGCTAAATCAAACAGCACCATCAGCTTTCTCAAAAGAAACATCAACATAAGTAATAAACATCAAGGAAAAAGCATATAAATCATTAGTACGACCAACTGTAGAGCATTCCAGTGCAGCCAGAAATCCTTACCAAAAGTCAGATATTAATCAAATTAAAATGAATCAGCACAGAGCAGCCGAGTATGTCCACAATAGATATCTCAACACCTCATCTGAGACCGAGATACTCAATCAGCTGGAATGGCCATCACTAGAAGAACGGCAAAGGAGAGCCAGCCACAGTGTCATGTATAAGCTGGTTTACAACAAAGTTCAGATTGAGACTAGCCAGAAACTTAAAATCCAAGACAGAACATCAAAGAACAACAATATACTGGCATTTCAAATACCTTCATGCCAAACTTCACTGAGGAAGGAATCATTCTACCCACGTACCATCAGGGAGTGGAATGCACTACTCTCCTCTACTGTGATTACTCTGAGCCTTGACTGCTTCAAGGCTCAATCATCTCCATCAATAGGTCTCCAGCTTAAGTGTTTTTTTAACTCACCTGTAAATAGACTATCACAATCTTTTTTTAACATATGTGCACACCTTGTGGCATAATAGTCAGCATTTTGCTGTGGCTGCTTACCAACAGAAGTAGAAGAAGAAGCCAGTAATTCATTTATGAGTTGTTAAAATGTGGATTTACGAAACACCCAATTTAAAAAATTGTCAAATGCTGAACATTTGAACAAGCAATTCGATCTATGCAAAAAGTTTACATGTACCTGGTACACATTAGACCTTAAAAGTGAGGCCTGTACCCTTTGATTCAACTTTGGCTTAATGCAATTATAACAAATGCCATATGAATACAAGAAATGCCCAGAATAATAAAGTACACCACCAAACCACAGCCATCACACGGGCGCACACAACACAGAAAGATGACAAATGAAAACAGTTTAACAGCTAAGTTAAACCTACGTGAGAGTTTGATTCCCTTAAAAGTCGCCATATTTTCCATGTCTGGCACACCGAATCAATAATTTACTTTGATAACCATTTCCCGGCTCAACAGCTGAGTGAAAGACAAAGAAAATAAAATCCAATGTCCATTAACAAAGTTAAATTGAAAGCAAAGCGAAATTTAACGACATTCGTCTACATTATCTACAGAAAATAACATTTCCTACAATTTACCCAGATATCATCAACTGTTATCTAAGCCATAAAAACAAATATTACATCAAAATTTATGTTTTTCTCTCATTTTGGTGTTCATTTCCGGTGCTTTGAAAAAAAATAACATAGAAGTTACGGATAAAAACGGAGCACAACAGTTGTACATAAAAAAAAATCTAAATTTAAAAAAACCAATAAAGTAATTTAAACAAAGAAAAAATACTATCAAATAACAAAGGTTAACTATTAGAAAATTAATTTTTTCAATTGTTTTCTTAAATTTTGTAACTTTGAATCGTGAAAAATTTTAATTAAGCCCATGCAGCTCAGGACAACTTTAAAATAATGTTTGTTTGCCGTCCCCCGACTCAGGATGAAAAAGTTGGGTGGGGGAAAATTTTTTTTCCAAGAAAATTTCAATATCAATGCTGAATTTTTAAAATCTATTATTCTGAATGCATAAAAAAATAATTGCTTCATGGAGTTTCATAAAAAAAATTTTGAGTCGGGCAATTTTTAGCCAGTCGGTAGGGAGAGGACAATCAAACAATTTTTTTTAAAAGATGGCCTGGTATCTTTTTTTTCTAGACTTGCTCGTGATTACAAAATAAGACCCTAGAATAGAATTGTATATCTCATATATATAATTATACTAGTATCCAGTAGGAAAATTAAATGCGAAGTAAGTTTTTCAGTAGAACTCGTGTCCAAGTTCGTTGTGAGTATATATATTCAGATTCCTTAGCGCATGCACAGCGTAAACACGCGTTTACGATAGAAAGAACGGTCAAATGCTACAGCTGTTTAGGAACAACTCAGAAAATATGATGATCATATACAATTGCAAAGGTGTCTGACACAGAATTGATTGCAAATTGTAGATAAAAACTAAAACGAATTGCAACAATGGGTATAAAGTAAAAAAAAAAAAATGACTTATGTAGAAATTAAAAGACTGCACATTCTTTCTACTCCTGATAATAAAACAAGATAAATAATTTCGATCAGTTAGTAATAAACATTTTTAAATCAAATTCTTCTAGACATATATTTTAAGCCCTTCTCGATTCTGGTTCCTTTTTCTACCAAATTCATGCAAACCAAAACATGATTTAGACAGGACGACACACCAAATTATCTTTACTATTTATAATGTGATAAACAGGTATCCCAATTTGAATTTATACTATCAAGCCCGTAGGAAGCAATTTTATTGGGGGGGGGGGGTACATAACTAACAGATATTCTTTACAAGCAAAAAACAAACAAACAAACAAACAAACAATCAAGCAAACAAACAAAAGTGCCATCAGACGTTCCTGATAGGGGCAGACACTTAAATAATGTTGAAATTAGGGGTGAGGGGGGACTGTAAGTTAACTTCAGCTTCAAGTTGTTCTCTATACGTGGGGGTACCATCCGCCCCCTGGTTCCTATACAGGCCTCCATCATATTAAGCTATTGCACGGATCTACAGTGTATAACATCAGATCTATATTTCGTATACATGTTGACAGAATGGGCGAGCCTTCCTTATACTAGTACAGGAACGCTGGAAATAGCCTTACATAGGAATATCTGTTAAAAAAAAAATCCTGAGTATTTTTCCCTATCAAAGCCTCGGCTTAAAAAATATTATGCGCGATGAATAAAGTTTCCTTCCCTAAAAGAAGAAAGGATTGGAAGAATACATAAGAAAAATCAGAATATAATTATACACCCAATTTTATATGATTACATGTTCACTTGCATGTAGATCTGCAGGTTAATTGAGTCTTATTTGAAAGTGGCCAATTAAAGATGTCATTTCCTCTTCACAATATTAATTTAATTTGGGAAAATGTAAAAATATATCTGAAATGTTTACTTCAAGTTGTCACAGTACTTGAGTAAAAAGTGGTGTTTTCCGGATTCGTCTGTTTGATAATAGCGATTCTCGTCTCTGGCTCCACGACCCAATGGAAATCTGATAATTCATACGTTCAGACGTTTATAATGAAGATACCTTTTCTCCGATGCTAAATAATTACACATGTAAAAGGTAAATCTCTCTTTGGTTCCTTCTCTGTCGGAGTCTCTCTCTCTCTCTCTCTGGTAACATTTTAAACCTCTAACGTTGGTACATCTACTAGAAGCTGTCTAGATAAAAAAAAGTTGAACATGATAACTATAGTTATGACTTTCGTATTTCCAGCTATTATGCTAATATAAGAGCTGGTTATTAAAAAAATCGTCTTATTACTTGCATATAATTGCGTACACTTAATTTTATTTGTCTATTGTAATGAACAAATACGATTTTCAGTTCAATTAGCCTAGTTGCTGCATGCTAAAAAAAAATGAATAGCTACAGGAATATTTTACCTATGTACAGAAAATTGTTTTCAAAAGACAAACTTTCATAAAAAGTAAAATAATAATAAATAAATACCATTCTCCACAATAAGAATTAATAATCTTAATTTATTGGTGCTGTTTCTTATCCTCCCTTAAGAAAAATTCATGATCAAAGACGTTGATTATATGGAAAAGTATAGTATAATACATGAAAAACAAATTCATCGTTTAGAGGTAAAAACTCAGATGTTCGTTTTTATCCGATTTAAAAAGATTACTAATTCGGATCCGCATTAAATCACGATTTGATGTACAAACTTCCTGTTGCTGTGATGGAGCTTCTCACATAACATTATGATGCTGAATATCAACTGTTGATGTCCTTTGGACGAATAAGTATGGTTAGTATTGTCCATGTCGTTAATTAAATTTCAATGCGGAATAACGACAGGATACCAGGAAGTTGCAGGTATAACTTGGTCGTGGAAATTCCATCGGAGACTGAAGTTAATAATTATTGATCTTCAAGGAGGTTTTGTAGCCCAACACTTCATTAATATAAGACCTTTGGTTGGATGAAGTACAGATTATTGTTGATTTTGTTTAAAGGATTTTCAGTGTGTAAGGTTAGTTATTGTATTTATTGTATGTTTAAAGAGACGTCTTAAAATTTAAATTGAGAAAAGGGAAAGCAAGATTTTGTTTAACTTAAGTTCATTATTGTAGCCCAACAATTTAAGCAAAGATAGGGATTATATTCTTTCTTTATAGGAAAGATATCTGCTTTTTGTTAAAATTTCCGTGCTTTCAGATTAGGGGTGCACCGATACATCAACCTCACGATACATATCACGGTATTCAATAAACGATACGATACATATCACGATACATGACAATGTTAAGAAGTCTTCATATTTTTTTTAAACTTGACATGGTTATACCAAATTTTCATGTTTTTTGATAATACTTAAAATATCAATTTGTTAACTTGAATTGGATTGATAGGATCTTTGAGTTGTGACAATATTCTAAACCAATGACAAACATTTGCAGGGAACTGCGGGGACCTTTTCTCATAATCTTCCTTTTAAATTGGAATGAAAAAGGAAGATATTTATTCTTTTATTCCTTTTATTCATGTAGAAAACCATTTGTCATATTTCTCGTGTTAACACGTTTTAGTCAACAAGACAGCAAATTTTCATCGAAATACAAGCGTGATGAGATATCGTGTATTACTAAAGAATACGTTAAGATCTAAAGAATTTGTCACTTGTCTTAACATGTATAACTTTTAATCACATTAGGAATGAGATTAAGTCCTTCACCGTGTTAAATCTGAGGTCTTCAAGATGCTGGAGATGAGTTTAACTGCCGTTAAGGCATTATCGCTGACCTCATGTTTTGCGCGGAAGCCATTTTGAAATTGTAAACAAGAAAACAAAACAAACGGTCGAATAATTCTGGACCGATTGAACCGATCCGCGATATCAGTTAAGCGTACCGTGAATTGAACCGTTGAAAAATATACTGCGATATACCGTCAAACGGTTTATCGTTGCACTCTTATTTCAGATGGTGAGAAATAGACAGCTGATAGATAATAACGTACTACTGGTACTACTGTGTAGCATGCATGAAAAGTTTGTGAAAATAGAATGGACATGAAACTTGTGGCTTGCGACGATGGCACGAAAAGCTGCCTTTAGGGAATTTGGTTTATTTTTAAAAAGTCACCTGCCATTTCAAATGTAATCTTAATTAAATTTTTTTTTTAAAATATCAAGAAGTTGTAAGCATAACCATGATAACATTTCCAACTATTACATGTATAAAGAAATGAAAATTATTTTCTATTTCTATTTTTCCTGCAAAATCCCTTTGTTTATAGCAAAATTCATACATACGAGCCTCATAGAATGTATATTTGAAATCTATTGTTAATACATGTAATATAAAGCATATGAATCATAGAAATAATTTTCAATGGAGAATGTCAAAACTCAAATAGGCTCTCATATTTTAAACAATTTTCTACATAGGTTTTAAGATACTTCTTTAACAATTATCTGATTATTATATTATATTTCATTAGCACATGTCCATTATTTAGGAAAAATTTTCTTCTTTAATAACAAATCAGGATCAGAATTTAAAAGAAAAACAATATGTTTTTGTGTCGGTATAGTATATGTAACTAATATAAGATATATATGCATTGTAAAGCTTATTCCATCATGCAGCAACTAAAGTTTTTAGCTCCCATGGCCTTATAATTGAAACTGAGCATCATATTTGTAAATTAGTACTATTAAAAAGTATTAACTACTTAAGGTTTCACTTTAATTTTCATGAACATTAAAACTTCCTAAATATGATTATAAAGAATCTTAATAAAAAGAAACTAAATCCTTGAAAAGAAAGTAGCAAAACTTGTTTAAAATTGTTTGGTCTTGAGGACCTCTCGCACAAAAACTACAAAAAACAATCTATTCTAACCATTGTGCAAGATTGTGATGAGTTGCACTTATATTTGGGAGGTTTCACAGTAGGTAGCATCCCCAAGCAATATTAGATGATAAACTAATCTTAAGATAAGTGATACAAGTACATGTAGCTGTACAACCCATTGTGCTTCTGCATTTATAACCATGATCCATAATGTGTAACTTTGAGGGAGTGGTGTTACATGTACATACATAGTGATGAAGTAATGAAACTTATTAATGAAACTTATAGATTTCAGTTGGTTGCAACTTGTATGTCATTCTGCAATATAAACTAATTGTTGCAACTGGAAACTTTATAGGCATTAAAAAATGATTTTCTTTTGGAAGCAGAAGCTAGAGTCTTTATTATAATAATTGAGAAAATCAAAAGGATTTAAAAGTGTTAATATATATACATATATCTATACTTATAAATTAATAAATTTTGCAAATAAACTTCGAAACGGGTGCACCAGAGTTCTTACTTACTCCTCTAACAATACACTAGATAAAAGCTGATGTCCGTAAACTATATTTAGATTTCAATCGCATAGTAAGTATCGTACATTAAATTAAAAGTCTACTTTCATTTTCTATAAACAGCCATGAAATAGCTAAAACGTGAGTACGGTGGCGTTTCCGGTTGGCGGATCTAAGTTACTGGCAATTTTTAATGAAACTGACAACAAACAATCGTTTATTTATTGCATAAAACGTCATCACTGAATTATTCAATCAAAACTCGATTTAAATGATATAAAAGAAATAAGTTGTGATAACCGATTAAAAAGGGAAATGTGCAAAATATTTTCGTCATTCACCGATCTTTATATTGACGGAAGCTTCTAGATCATCATATAGCATCGAACCCGATATTAAGGATATGTGAACCTGAAATAAAAGTAATTGGAAAGTTAAAAAATAGGCACCGTTGCATAGAGGACAAGTCCCTTGTTCAAATAACAACAACTCTGATATATGTACATGAGTTGGTTTCCATGGCAACAGCCTCTGAACTTGCCCTTGTTTAAAAAGATTAAAGCTCTGAAGAAAAATCTACTGTAATTAATTAAAGATAAAAAAATCTCATAAATTATGATTAGAATTTAATTTTTTGCAGTTATCTTAAAGATTTATGAATGAGCATAATGTAGTAAAGCTTTTTTTATAGGTGTCATATTCAGAAAGCAGACAATCACAGTCTGAATTTCCTCTGTCCTCTTAAAAATTGACTATTTTTCCTTGACCTTGACTTCAAAAAAGGATATAAAATCACATTGGCTATAATTAAAAACTTAATTTCTAAATTCCTTTTTAAAGTAGTGTTATAGAGCTATGTAACAGAGGAAAAAAATTGGTATGTACATGAGTCAGAAAAAAAGATATGGTAATCTGAATTTTCTCTGACCTCTTTTAAAAAATTACTTCTGATGCATGATTATCTGTAATAAAGGCAATAAAAGGGAAACAAAATATAAGAAGAAATAGTTATTTGCAAATATATAAAAGGTCTGTGGACACCTTTTATTGATCTAAGCTTTTTTTCATAGCTATCATATTTAAATAGCTCACAATCACAGTCTGAATTTCCTCTGCACTCTTAAAATTTGACTATTTTTCCTTTACCTTGACTATAAAAAAGGATATAAAATCACATTGGCTATAATTAAAAACTTAATTTCTAAATTCCATTTTAAAGTAGTGTTATAGAGCTATGTAACAGAGGAAAAAAATTGGTATGTACATGAGTCAGAAAAAAAGATATGGTAATCCAAATTTTCTCTGATCACTTTTAAAAAATTACTTCTTATACATGATTATCTGTAATAAAGGCTATATAATGGAAACAAAATATAAGCAGAAGTAGATTTTTGCAAATATTTAAAACTTCTGTGGACAACTTTAGTGATCTAAGCTTTTTTTTCATAGCTATCATATATATATAGCTCACTATCACAGTCTGAATTTCCTCTGCCCTCTTTAAATTTGACTATATTTCCTTGCCCTTGACTACAAAAAAGGTTATAAAATCACACTGGGTATAATTGAATATTTTATTTTTCAACTTCATTTTAAAGAAGTGATATATAGCTATGTAACACAGGAAAAAAATTGGTATGTACATGAATTGGAAAAAAAGATATGGTAATCTGAATTTTCTCTAACTTTTTTTAAAAACTGAACAGATTCCTAAAGCACATTTATCTGTGTTGATGTATAAAAAATCAAACAAAAAATTTATTTTATTTGATTTTAAATATATTACTATCTTGAAATAAAACTAAAAATCATGCATATAAAGAAAATTATGAATCGGTCTTTAATAATTAAGATAATTATCACCCCGATTTCCTATTTTCCTTTAAACATTACTTTTTAATTCTGAATGAAGGCAGAAAAAATGAACAATAAATTCCCATTAAATATCTATACAAGGAACTTTTAACCATTGAATGTACAATGTATTAGAATATGGGACAAAAGGATCTAAATCCTATATAAAAGTAGTGTATTTTCATAATCTAATTCCCCAAAAATTGCAGTCCGAATTTCCTCTGTTTAAACTCACATTAAAACTTATAAGCATTATCTGATACAAATGACATATTTTTGCATAATCTAATTGGAAATAGTATCAAAATGTACAACATATAAAGATAACAATCACCAGTTTAAAATATCCCTGTTAAAAAGTTCGAGCAATAACTGTTAGTTCTGTTTATACAAAATGATTTCTTTAACCTTGACAAAAGTTTCTACACAGTTCTAGTAAAACTAGCTTCTATGACATAGTGAATCTTTTTTATCTTTCCTTTCCTTTTCAACTGCAAGCTTTTTTGGGCCACGAACTTTGTTGAAATATTAATAACTGCAGGTGAAGGTCTTTTGAAGTAAACATTTCAGTCTTTGGTGACAGAGGCAAAACAGTGTGATTCTTAGCCTGGAAAATAAAATCCATTTTAGTGTTAACCTTCAAATGATAAGTGGACATGGATATATAGAGGATATCTATATTGTGTGATTTGATATTTGCTTTATCCAATGAGTTGAATGGTGTATATTCGCGAGGCTTGCCAATATATTCCAACTACAACTTAACTGCTAGATCTATCATTTCCTATGATAGCAATTGTGTGGGTGGGTGTGTGTGTGTGTGTGTGTGTGGGGGGGGGGGGTAACATCCTTTATTGCTGTAGCCAGTACATTGATAAATTTTGACATTTCATTGAAGTGTAATTAGTTTTTTTCTCATTTTTAATGAACATTTTTGCTCATTAGCATTCATTTGATAACACAGAACTTTCACAATTAGAAGTTTCGATAAGTTTACATCTTGAAGTGAGGCCTAGGGATTGTGTCAAAACCGGAAGACGTGCTCTTGATAAAGCACATACCCGTGGATACAGCATAGGTTTATATTATGGGTATATATATATATATATATATATATATATATAGTATACAAGTAAAATTGTAAATACAGTCAAACCTCATTATCTCGAACTAGATGGGACTGAGAAAAAACTTTGAGATATCCGAGCATTCAAGATATAAGGGGTAAAAAAATTTAAGGATAAGTAGTTGGGACTTTCAAATCACTTCGACATATCCATGGTACTCGAGATATCAGTGTTCGAGATATCAAAGTTCAACTGTATATAATACCTATTTAAAATTTACTACATTACTATATAACATTTTAATAATTTGACACCTTTCAAGTTATTTATGAAATATGACTACTAGTCTAATGAGGCTTCAAAAAGTTATATTTTTAAAAATTCTATTATCATGCTAGCAAGTTAAACGAGGAACTTTTGATTTTGAGGGCAGATTTTGGAAATAATCTGACCTAGAAGATGTTAATAAAATAAAAAAATTCTTCTCCACTGGGAATATTTTTTTTCTTTTGTCTAATTTATTCCAGTGAAAATAAAATAATAATCTTGCTGTCATAATTTGTCTTTGGTGAGCTGGGAAATAAATATTTTGTCCTTTTTGAAGGCCAGAAAATATATTAACCCCCCCCCCCCCCCCCCCCCCCCACCACCACCACCATCAGAATTGAATGCATAGTGAACCCATTTTTTTTTATTTTAATAAAATTAATTTATTCCTACCTATTCCATTGGTTGCAACACAATAGAAATCTTTTAATGCATCTGGATCCATAGGAACATGCTGCTAAGAGTTGAATAAGGTGACAGATTTTGACTGCTGACCTACATTGTTCATATTCCTCCTTGATACCTGTACAAATAACAAATCAGTCACAAATATATTCAATTTACAAGTAAATTTTATAGATATTCTTTGAATATGTACAATCAATGTCAATTAGTTATTACCGGTAGTAAGTAAAAAACTTTAGCATAACAATGAAAAGTAAGTGCCAAGTTCCAAAGCAACTCATGTTACATGTACAGCTTTTATGATTTCAATCAATGTTAGCAAAACAAATTTGGTTGTTATTACTTCCCTTACAAAATTGAGGTCAATTTGTATGTTGAGTACAGACTTGTCGAAATTTTGAAATCACTGTCAGACATTTGGTCTGACAAAGTCAAATGTTCTGCTGGACCGGACGAAGTTTTGTCAGACCAGATATACGTACTTTATTTTGACGCTGAGAAAGTAAAATAAAAACTGCACTAAAATGCCGTTTATTATTTTCAACAGCCTTCAATCTCACAAGTTTCTTTTCTTAGAATAGAGAATCTTTAATCAGAGACATAAATTGCACGTTTTATGTCTTTGCTGTAACAAATTTAATCGACCATCATCACCACACGGCCATTTCTGCTGTTTCTGTGACTTTCACCTGCGCACCACAAACCCGATCTTTTTAAAATTTGCTTCACTCGAGATTTTTTTCAAACAGTCATTTGGACCGACATTTTCTTGAGAGTTATCGGTCCAGACAAATTTTTATCGGCCTTGCCAACAGGACCGACGAATTTCGACAAGTCTGTGAGTAATATGAGGTAACATAAGATATGCTCTATTACTATTTATTCAGTGCCAATATGGGCATAACTCATCAGAAAATAATGTAAATATAAGAAATGATTTTAATTTTTGAAAATTCATGAGGTACATGAACTACAACGCTTCACGCTGGCATATTTATCATGAAGCGCTAACGCGCTTCATGAAATATGCTGGCGTGAAGCGTCGTAGTTCATGTTCTCATGAATCTTCAAAAATTAAATTCATTTCTTAAATAAACAAGTACAAAAAGACATATGACACTTGTATATGTACATTGTATATATATATATATATATATATATATATATATATATATATATATTGTGGTAGGTGTATCAACATTATTATGACAATATATGCATCTTTAAAGCTTAATGCTTAAGAAGAGTATAAAAAAAAAAACTCGCTAGTTTTAACTTTAATATCTGCTTTTATAATTTCATAGAACAGTTACATCATTTAAAGCAGTATAATTATTTATTTGCTAAAATTTATTTTAGTAGAGATCCAAAGCCATATAGGTCTTGAAGTTAAATTGTTTGCAAATGATTGAATGGCAAAAGGATATTTAATGTTTAATCAGACCTTTGTTTGTCATAATGCCCAGCAATCTTCCATAATCTGTAATCTCACATTGTTTTGGGAATTATCTCTCTCTAAAACACCTTCCTTCCTTTATCTGAAATTGATATAATAATAAAAAGTGCTAATTATTATTTATTAAAATTTTCATACAATTCCAAAATTCTAAAAGAATTATGCAGCATATAAGCATCCATAACCAACAACAAAGACTAATGAATGAATGTGTAAAGTCACCACAGTGTTCAAGCTCACTCAAGAAAAGGAGTCCTGTTCTTTTGAAATAAGAATAAAATTGGTCAATTTGTTGTCTTAAAAAAATGTATGAACACTTTTTGATCAAGTCTTTTTTCCCCACATTACTTCATTTCTTAGGCTAAGTACATAACTCATCATTTTTTAATAAGTCATATCTTGTATTGCACAGACATACATCATACTGAATTGTTTTTCATCAAGTTTGTCACTTGGCTAGTGAAGTGTAATTTGATAGTTTGACTCTAGTAAACAAAAATTACAATGTTTATCTTAGAAATGTCACTTCAGACTATATTATAATTCCATATTCATAAATGAAGGAACATTTTGACCCCACTAAGAATTAAAAGACTTTAAAGCAACCCGAGAGGTAAATATTTTATGCAACTGTATATTTTCAAGTCTGAAAAACACAGGTACAAAATATTTGGCACCAAATACTATACTCAGAGGTCACTGATGTCATGCTAGATGTTTATTTTTCCCATCTTTTTGAATTTATGAGCGAGATATCTATATATATGTAACTGTATAGGAAAATTTGGCAGATTTCTGCAATTTTAAATTATAGCTTAAATTAAAAAGTTTAAACTGACGTGAATGATGTAAATCCCGGTTAGTAAGAAAATGAATGTCGATGGTGCTATAATGATATTAATTACAACGAAAGAATAAGTATATAAGGTGTGAAGTTAGGCCTATCATTCTGTTTCAGTGTTTGGTGCATGTTTATTCTGCTGTTTATTTTTACTAACCTGAAACTGAAAGCATGTAGTGCATCGTGATACTGTATTCAGAGGTGACATCGCTTGGGAAATTGTTGCACGAAACCTAACATCATCAATCTCTATATTTCTTGCCCAACTATAACCCTTTACTGGAATATATACTGTGTTTTCCGTGCAAATGTATCGTTGCGTCCCTCTCTACCGACATGGTGGCGCAAAACGGCAAGGGTATGTCGTAAATGCTCCGAGGTCGGAAGAACAAGCAAAAAGCAAAAATTTATGAAAAACATGCAATATTAATTTAATTTGACTTTATTTCACAAGGAATTCGGTGTTTACGATCCTTTAGAATAGTTTATTAGCAAAACCAAACGCTCTACGTATGATCACGACATTGACCTGATCTTCAGCAGTTCGAGTTGCGCGGTAGGTTCAAAATCGTCAGGTTCACATATCCTTAAGAAAAAAACGAGGCGATTATAGCTACATGACCATAAAAAAGCTTTTGTGTAAATGGTCATAATTGAAATAATGGTAAATCACTGATAACACCATAAGTTGTGAATATAATTATATATTGAAAGACTATTACATATACATGTATGTAGTAGGTTTTCCTAATAAATTTATCGGTAAAATTTGTATATATTCCCATCGTCGGTAACTCACGGGTGATTCACATCGACTCTCTCTATCATCACCCGTGTTTGAGGTAGCTTGTGGACTCAAAACCGTGGTTTGCGACGATGATATATTCCTTACTGAGAGCATCGTGGCAACGAACCCGAAGTACAATTTGTATTTCGTAATAAACTTGCTTACATGAAAAGAGAAAATTAATGAATAAGGTATTGTTCAAATACAATTAAAGATGTAAAATTTTGCGCTTTAATCAATGCACAGTTAATTTCTGAATACAATCTTTTATAGCTGCAATAATGTAGCCCTCTCCTTTTTTGAGAGGGGGGGGGGGGGCAGAGAGAGAAAGGCCAGAAAATATCAGATCAAATAAAAATCCGAGAGGACTACATTATTGCAGCTTAGTCTTTTGTATCAAATACTCAGCCTATTCATAGGGCGTTAAAAGCTAATTTTTACACAGGTACTTGGTTCTTGGTTTATAAATATGTATGTACCTTATTGATAGGTAAAAAGGTAAAGTACATTTTTACATATCAATAAGGTACAAACATATTTTTAAACCAAGACCCAAGTATCTGTGAATTTTTAACCCCCCCCCCCCCCCCAATCAATTTATTAGTAAAATGTGCATATTCGTTGCTTTTATCCTTGACGGAAATGAAATAAGAGCATCTGAAGTACAATATCCATAACATAGTATAACAGGTTTCACAATAAACGTCAATTAATGAAATTGCTATTTTTCAAGTTTAAAAAAAAAAAAATAATAAAACAAACACAAAAAACGGGGGGGGGGTAGGTAAATCTACTTCATGCGGGATTTTCAACAAAGTATTTGTTCCTGCTATAAGCCTGTAGGCTGTCAGTAAAAAACTACAATATATTTTTTGTCAGTAGTGGTATAAATTCAATTTCCCGCGCTTGCGCGGGATTTCATCTAGTATATATATATATATATATATATATATATATATATGTATATATATATATATATATATATATATATATATATATATATATATATATATATATATATATATATATACATTATATTAGTGAAGAATAAAGGGTAGTTTCTTTTAAAAGGCATACTATATAATAAGCATAGCATTTTAGCATTTAGGAAGTGGTGACAGACAAGAAACAGAAATGTTGACCAATAAGCAATGAACTACTTTTGAGGTTTTTGAAGACTTCATCTGTTTCAAAAATTTAACGATGCCCAATCAGGTGCAGATCCAAGATTTTTTTCGGGGTGGGGTAGGGGGGGGGGGGGGTGGGGGTCCACCCCAGTCAAAAAATTTCCAGCCCAGAAATTTCTTGACAAGCAAAAAAAGGTGTTAGTGGGGTCCAAAGTCATTTTTTATTCACTACAGTATATACATTTAATAACTGCAAATTCCGGGGGGGGGGGGGGACCCCTGATCCCCCTCTAGATCTGTGCATGCACATTGATTTGAAGATCTATACATAAACCATATTACCCATCAACTACATCAAAATGATTGAGTGTTTTTCCATCAACTATGTCAAGATGAGTGTTAAAGCACATGACATAACTAAACTTTATTAGGCAATAGCAGTGCTACTAAGTAGACTACTGTCTGGTGTAACATAAGTATCAAGAATATAAGTGTACACTGAATATGTGCATGCAAGTATATCTGACTAACCAAATGAAAACAAAGATTGATTAAGTACTTCGTTTGAAGGAAGTCCACTTACCCCTTGTTGATGGAGTTAATCACAATATTATTATACACTCCTTTGATCATGTTGATTTTAGTAAAGAAATCTGATCCTTGTTATATAAAGATGTAGTGTTTTGAGTATAAAAGTTCATTGTGTAAGTCTAGACACAGTTTTCTCTTCATTCATCCTTTTTTTTTAGTCAGACACTATATTTTTCATGAACTGAGCAATTTTTTGTAACAAGTCTCTGCCATTTTCCTACAGAAGCAATGATAAGTTTAGATCCCTTTATAAATAAGAGAGACTAGGGTATTAAAACTTGCAAGTGTTTTGTGTCCAACTTATGCAGGTTCTTCAGGTTTTATAATTAAATGCTTCATTATGAATACAAGGATTCTTGAAGATTACCCAAGTAATACAGCTACTTAAAGTATTGATTTATAAAATATTTTCTAGATTTTAAGGTAAATATTTTTTTTTTTTTTTATAAAAATGCTTATGTGGCAATATAAAGATATTGTTACGGTCAGATGGCATCCTCCTCAATATAAATATTAAAATTTTTTGTTCTATAATAAATATTTTAGGGTCAGACAACAATGATGAATAGTTTTTACACATTTTGAAAAAAGTTTGGAAATCACAAGATAATGATATTTATGAATATTTTTATATATATTATGAAGAGATACAAAACAGATATTCGAGGAACATGTCATCAGCCTTAAGCCTTTTGACTGACTGGATTTTTACATGAAGGAAGTCCTTATTGTCTTCTCATGGTTTTTACTCATGAACAAGGAAGTATCTTTAAGTAGCAGAGTATTTTTAAATCTCAGTCTTGAACTCATGTCTCGTTTTAATGTTATTATTGGGGAAACAGTTTTATAAGGTTCTTATTTTTCTAAATTTACTTTCCCACAAAAATATATATTTTTCTGTGAATTGAGAGGTAGGTGAGTCATGGTTATTTTTGTAGAATGAGGAAATGTATCATTCTGTGACGTACACTGTATCATGTTGAAAAATGATGTACTGATCTCAAGTAAAATTGGTATTGAGTACATATTTAATAAAATGAATATGAAACAAGAAATGTTTGTAAACTTAAGGAAACATTGGTGTGGCAAATCACAATCACACGGAAATCTTCTTTATAATTTATTATGGTCATATTGGTGTATTAAAGGCAAATAACAAATCCACAATTAAGGGTTAACAATCTCGATACCACATTGGGTAAGATATTCAAAATGTTTTCTGGTATAGTACTTAGTGAGAAATACTTAATTTTATTATTTCACAAAAAATGTCACTTATATACTATGACAAAAAAAATCTAGAAATAGAAACTTGTGTAAAATTTAAAGTAACATGTAAAATATTCTAGATTATTTGATATTACTAAACTTATGGAAATTTCAAGAAATTGCGACTGTTGGCAACAATTGTGCGACAAAATTTTACTATTATGTAGTAGCAGTGATCGTAAGGATCATAAAGGATGGCACCTGGTAATTCAGAATAAATATTTACCTTATCTTAATAAGTAGGCAAATTTTGGTCTTTTCAGGGGAAACATGATCCAGTTCTAACAATGGACAGAAAAGATTTAGCAATGGCAGCCATTATGCAGTGTCTCCAACAATTTCTGGTGTGTATCTTAGAGCTGTTCATTTCTATTTAGTCATAACCTAAAGTAATATGGTGTCATTATTTTCTAAATTTCTTGTGTGTTTAATGTATAACAGTTAAATAGCATGTTTTTTTGGTCTAGTTTAACATTCCGATCTTACAATTTTTTTTAGTAAACAGTACCAATATTTTAAAACACTTTTGTTAGTGGAATTTGAATGCACTTTGTGCATTCATTAAGCATGAATATTACTTTCCTGATTTTCTGTGAGCATATAAATTGAAATCAAAATGCAGATACATGTATGAATACTTTATCTTCTGCAGGTATCGCCGTATTAATTGGTTGTGAGAATGGCAAGTGGACAAAGTCCAAAATCTGCCACCCTTCCTCCCAGAACTCAGCCCCCAAAGTCTGGTAACCATAGAAACAAATTGTCTTCTCCATCTTTCAATAGAAGTTTATTTGGACGGCTTGTGCAGAAGTTACGATTCCGTAACCGTGATAATGATACTGAGCACCCAGACTCACAGAATGTTGAGGGGTTGTATTTTAAGCGGAAAATGTCCCCTGAGCACAAGGACACCCCCAGTCAGGGTCCGTTTGCTAGAGTAGATGTGAGGAGGAGCCAGTCTGACAGAAGCTACCAGAAACCTGTAGAAATGCGGAAGAAAAATGGGGCATTCCCAAAACTCAGGCGTTCAAGGCATTCTAAAGATGTAGCAGAAGTCTTGTCTCCCCCAGACAAGAAACCCTTAGCATCAGATATAGAAGTGACTAATGATTTCATTATATCTGATGAGGCAGGGGTGGACTTAGATGAGGGAAATAAAATAGAACCAATATCTCCAGAAGACATGGATCCAGGGTATGAAACTCTGGACGAGGTACGAGAGAAAATGAAGAATTTAAAACTGAAGAAGTTGAAGGAGGAGGAGGCAGAGATTCTTGCTCCCACTCAAGTACAGCACCACCGACGTTCACAGTCCACAGGGGGTCAGGAGGAGGTACACTGGAGGGAGAGTAATGAATTCAAAATTAATCCCAGGGAAAAACTAGGCAAGAATTCCAGTCACACAGGTAAACTTTGTAATATGGCCATTCAATGAATTAGTAAAGAAACTATCTTTGAAAAAAAAATATATGTGAAAATTGTGTAATGTATTTATTTATTACATTGTCTCTTTTATTGGTAAAGAATGAAAAATTGTCATAAATTAATGATCATAAATTCCTATTTTTATGATATATACTGGTATGTGGATTTCTTAACATGAGAAATTGAAATTTTTTTTAACATTTTAGATGTGAATAGGCCAAGCAGTCAAAATTTTGATATGAAGAATCGTCTTCTGCCGAGCTTTACTTCCAACCTTTTATCTGTGCGTTCAGGAAGTTGTCCTCTCCAAAATGAAAACTCTCTACAGACAGGGATAAAAAGTTCTCAAAACAAGTCAGAGAATTGTATTTCTCAAGGAGGAGTCATCTGGAAAGAAACTGAAGATGTGTATGCTAACCCTTCCATTGTCCACAACAAAACAAAAAATGTGGAAAACCCCTTCAAGGAACCACTGAGGTCTGGTAGTGTTGTAAACAGGGAAGAAAGTGTAGATAGAGAACCACCTCCCTTGCCAGAAAGACAGTATAGTGTTCAGAATCTTGAGGACATAAACACTGAAGAACCTCCAAGTAATGAGGACCCTGTTTCTTCTGAATGTCCTCGTACTGAGGACAGCATACCTCCGGAGGCAGACACAGAACAAGTACCTCAGGAAGTGAGACTCGATCCTCTGGATGAGGATGATGAGACAAATGGGTATTCAACTTGTGGTTCCTCACTAGTTCTTTTACAGAGGAGGGAGAGGATTTATGAGGAGATCAAAGATCAGGACATTAAAACTTCACAGTGTTCTTGTGAAGAGGACAAAATGTGTTCAGTGCCATATCAATCTTACATAAAGAAAGAGAGACCTTATGAAGAGGTTAAAGATCTGCAGATAGATAGTGGATTTCATAATTCTTCTTCTGGATCTGACTTGTTTGCTCAAGTTATGCATCATTTTGACTCTTTATCAGAGAATGTGTCATCAGCAGGTCCTTGTGAAATTTCTACGGAAGACTTAGACATGGATTGTGGTAATGTTGGTGAGAAAATGAATATTCCAAATGGGAGCTGTAATACAAACAGTGCTAGGACAGACAGTGCTATAACTGACTTAAGCATATCCTCAGACCACTTAGTCTCAAATCTTACATCTTTTACATCATCTGCAGAGCAGGCAGACTCTGTTAAATGGAAATCAGAGAAACAAAAAATAAAGGACAAATCGGATCTGGTTTGCAGCCAGTCTCAGTCAAATTCCACAGTGTTAGAGTCATATGAAACTGAAAATCTATGTGCTAAGCCATTAAACGATGATTTAACTAACCACCAGTTTTCCTTTGAAAATCAATCCCCTATGGCAACATCATATGAGGATGATGCAGACCTTGTGTTGGAAAGTTTAGAAAGTCAAACCATTCCCTCTGGCGTGTCCTCCATTGAGAATTTACTGGATTATGAAAGAAACATGGAGGACAGCACTGCAAAACTGAAGGATTCAGAGAGTTGTTTTCAGATGGGTAGTTCACATGTGAATAACTGGGAGGAGATACCATACGCTGATGCTAATAATCTGAAACTTACAGACATACCTCGGACGATGCTAGATGATGGCACTCACTCTGATTGTAATGACTCTAATCGAGAAAGTTTAACTGGGAGTTTGATCATAACAGAAGCAGATTTGGCTTGTGATCAAAATAGTGCTAAACAGACAGAGACAACTGATCAGTCAGATGTAAAAACTAGTGCTGAAGTAGTTATAGTAGATAAGCCAGAATTACCTACAGTAATAAGTGCAATGGGAGGTGATCCAGAGGAGGGCATGCAGGATATTCCGGACGAAGAGACAGAAGTGAAAAGGAGGTCCAAAGGACTCCCATTTAAAACCATTCCTTCATTTTATTACGACGAAGAGCCTGTTCACATGAGTCTTGCAGAATTAGGTATGAAAGAACACTATAGCAAGCACAGTAGAGAGAGAGAAAAACAGAAGAAGAAGCAGAAAGAAGGAAAGTCTTCTAGTACCAGACAAAAGAGTGCAGAAAGTTCATCTCAGGTCAAGGTCAGTGGCTCATCTAGGGTCAAAGTTAGAGACAGCAGTCTCAGACAAACACCTGTTCACAAAAACCCAGCAGCCAGAAGGACTTATCCTATGGGAATGGCAAAATCTCTTGAAACTGAAAAGGTGCACAAGGACCCAATTGAGACCAAGTTGAGTAGATCTGCAACATCAGGTGAAAAACCATTAAGAGATGCCAAGGCCAAGTCCAGCGTTGTGGAACCTATCACACTGCCCGAGATACCTGCATTCAACCAGAACTCTGATATTAGTAAGTTTATGTAGTGATCTTTGTGATTATCTCTAATTGGAAAGGGGGAGGGGTGCAGTTACACACTTCGTCTATGTATTGTAATAGTATTTTATAAATAAACCAGGTGTTAATTGTTACCGTATTCATCAAATGATGCGGTGAGAGTAGACACAACTTTTCAATAACTTTTTGAAATAATTTTATAAGTTGAATTAAGCAATATATCTCATACTTTGAGCATAATTCATTAAAGTGTAGAAAATTCTTTTTTTTTTCTGTGAATTTATTTACAGGATGCAGACAAGATTTTTTTGAGAGCATGAAACAGCTAAAAGATGTAAGTATTTATCATAATTATGTTTAGATTTCTATTCCTTAATATTCATAATTCTTAAAGAAGGTATTGTCTGTTATACCTCTTTGAATTTTCTCCTGTCAGAATTTAAAGTAAATACTGCTTAATTTAGAGCAACATAAGATGTTGATAGTGCATGGGAGTACATGTATATTATGTATTTCACATGAATGATATTGTTTACAGTGTGGTTGGTACTGGGGGCCGCTGAGTTGGGACGAGGCAGAAATCAAACTTATGAGTAAACCAGATGGCTCTTTTCTGGTTAGGGACAGCTCAGATGAGAGATACATCCTAAGTCTGTCATTCAACATGAATGGTCATGTCCACCATACTAGGATAGAGCATCATAAAGGTAGGTAGTTTTGGGGTTTTGATTTTCAATGTACCAGGACAGAATGAGGTATGGAGGGAAACAAAAATCATAATAGGAGTAAAATTTTAAATAGTTATTAACTGAATTGAAATTAAGGTCACTTTAATATAATGTAAAGTAGTATACTATATAACTGGGTTTTTTTTTCTACGTATTGCAATTTTTGCAAAAATATGTCAAAACACTGTTACATGTATTTTTAATTTGCATAGTCCTATTTTTGTGATTGTCTCAATGGATTAATAATTTTCTATGTAGTCTTTACAGTACACAATGGGTGACACTTTTATGTGAATTTAATATTTTGTGATCTAAAATCACTAGCAAAGAAAGGAAAAAGTGGTTCATGGGAAAATAAACTGTTATATCATATATACTGTAACACAATTTTTTCAATAGAAGTCATTAAAAAAATAATTTTTTTCAATAGAAGTCATTAAAAAAATAATTGTGCTTAACATATTTGGGAATATATCTAACACCCTTTTTATAGGGCACTGATGTTGTTAACTCACCTGAGCGGATGGTACAAGTGAGCTTTTCTGATCACATTTTGTCCGGCATCTGTCTGTCTAGCTGTCTGTCTGTCTGTAAACTTTCAACATTTTCGACTTCTTCTCAGGAGCCATTAGGCCAATTTCAACCAAACTTGCCACAAAGTATTCTTGGGTGAAGGGGAATCAGGTTTGTTCAATTGAAAAGCCACACTTTCTTCCAAGGGGAGTTAATTACATATTAGTGAAACATTAATGTATATTTTAAGAATCTCCTTCTCAAGAACCACTGGGCCAGGAAGTATGAAACTTAAATGGAAGCATCCTTAGGTAGTGAAGATTCAAGTTTGTTCAAATCATCCGTACAGTACAGTAGACTCTTTTATCATGAAAGTTTTTTTTCTCATTTTTGTAATATTTTTTCTTTGCAGGTAAATTCAGCTTTTGGTCACAGCCTGATTCATTAGGAAAATCAACCATTAAAGATTTTATTGAACAGTGTGTTAGAAATTCCCGCAATGGACAGTTTCTATATTTCATTCGACCTTCTGGTCCTGGGGCGCCACCTATGCCAGTTCATCTCCTTCACCCCGTATCTCGATTCCGACAGATGCAGTCACTGCAGCACATGTGTCGTTTCCAAATCCTACAGATTGTACGACGAGACCACATTGATCGACTGCCCATTCCCACACGTATTAAGGACTACCTCCGAGAATCCCAATATTACGTAGAATACTTAGAGGATTGAGGGGGAAATTTTTTCTACAAATTTATTTGTGATTAAATCAACCAAATTAATTGTGATTCATCAACCAAATTATTTTTTTTGTGTTTTCTGTCTGTGATGTGATAGTGATGTTTTGTGCTTTTGATTTACAAAATCATGTGACAATTTTATATTTACTTTTGAATATCTTTTATGTTCACTTTCAAAAACATTTTTAATTGAGCTTATAACAATTTTTAAAAGCAGGATTGATAGTTTTTTGTTTGTAGTATTGATATGGGCGTCAAACTTTTAATTGCTTCATGGTAACTTTTACAACCATAGCACATATACATGTACATGTATGTTATTATGCAGAGCAATATTGTGCAGTGTAACCCGTTTTGTTTTTTCTGAAGCAGTACCATAAATTCAGATGTCTGTAATCTGTATTGTATGTACCTTTTGTGAACTACCTCAGTTCAGGCACGGATCCAGGATTTTGATGTTAGAAGTAGTGCTATTAGATGGCGATGGGACTAGGTACTACCAGGGTCCTCAATGGATCAAGGGCAGTGTTGGGTGAGGGTCCTGGGGGTAAGGCCCTTGTAAGCTCCCTAGAATGAGCAATTAGAGAATATTTTTGACACATGAAAGACTGTAATTTTACCTTTATTACATAGATGTATGACAGGGAAAAATATATCTGAAATTTTGGCTTTTTGTTTTTAGTTCAGGTGCTTGCCGGGAGCACCTCTGCCAGAATCCACGCCTGCAGTTACTCATAATACAATTTTCAACCAAATTTCCACTCAGTATGCAATCACAATTCACTTCTGGCACTCAGTGCTGATATTATTAAAATGGTTTTTTTTTTATATAACAAAACACAGATTTTCAGGTGACTTACTAGTAGTATTTTATAAGGGACTCTGATTTTTTTTAAAATATGAAAAGAAGGTATGCTTAATGATTTGAGGTAGATTACCTTTAATTTAAGTATTTTAATGAAATAAAATCAAGCGCTTGTAAGTAGCTTCAGATTAATTTTTACCTGATAGACCATATTTTCCATATAGAATCATTAATCAAAAATAATTTCATCTAAAATGTAAAATCTGTTAAAAAAAAAAATCATGTTACATTTGCTTTAGAGCACACAGCTGCTAAATGAAAAAAAATATTTTTCATGTTTAGATGTTGTTTGGTGCTACGATGGAAAGGAATAATATTTGCTGATAACTTTGTCTCAATATTTTATATTTTTGAGTTGCATTTCATTGTATTTCGTTCAGATGAAAAAAAAACCCCATAAAGTCTCACATTTGTACTATTGTTTTTTTCTTAGGAGATGTAGTCATAATTCTGAATTAAAGGGATTAATTCTCATACATTATTGTCAAAAGAAAATTAATAAATGCTGTACAATGTACTAATACATATATACATGTATATTAAGTGACACGATTTTTAATAATATAGCTGGTAATAAACATGTATACTGGGGTTTGTATGATATTAATATTAAATTCCATTATGAGATAATTATTAGGTTAATCACATAAAATAATTCATTAGTTACGTTGCATAGTATCAATTGCTTCTTTTTTTTTTTATCTGATATTTTGATCAGTACACATGTATTGAAATTAAAGCAAACTTTCATTTTGAGAAATTTATTAGAAGGATTTTTTTTTTAAAATTACAAATGTACATGTATGATTTGCTGGATCAGTTTTTAAGATCACTAGTTAGGAAAGCTCTTTTGTCAACCTATACTCATGTTATTCATGAAAGGTATTTTGTGAAACCAGATGTAAAAAGAATAGATGTAAAATATTTGAAAAATCTAATATTTAGTTAAATTTAACTTAGGATCTTTTTATCATTTGAAAGGCAGCATTCCAATATTCATTTTAAAGTTTTGAATTTCTTTTCAGTCAGCTGCTTGAAAGATTTAAGTAACTTTATTTTTGTGTCACTTTGATTTAAATATAAAATTCCACAGAAAATGCAGAACTGCAGATATTAACTAAAATAAAAGATGTTGCTTTTACATTCAGACTTTTAAGTGTGTTGGGGGGAAAAAATCAATGCATTCTCTCTATATAAAGGGATAGGCTGGACTGACAGCTTCAAGTTGCATTTTAAGTTTTTCAAATTGAAGTTTTTGATGTTATATTTATGAAAGGTGCATACCTGTTATATTTGTGCTGCATGGTTTTTTTGTACCAAATTTTGTTGTTGTACCTGTGAACCTGTTGTTGATTTCCGTCTTGACATTGGAATTAGATTCCTTTTAATTGTTTATCCTGTCATGTCATGTCTAAAAAATAAATACATGTCAATGTATTAAGGACCCTACAAAGTGTTTACTTTCTTTGTTACAAGATTCAGGTGAGCTGTTACTATCCGTTTCCTCTATCTTCATGCTTCAATCTTTCTACATTTGGAGTCTGAGAAAAATTTTTAAGTTTGTATCCTGAAATAGCAGAACCAATTCTGATACATAACATCTAGAGGTTCTGTGAGCACACAGCTCACAAAATGATGTCTCCCAATGCATATGAGTATACATGTAATAGCAAAGTTGATTTTTTGCTATGGAAAACGCTAAATATATGTCCAATCAAAACATAAAAAAGGAGGTGCACAATTGCACTATGTAATAAAGAATCTGTGAAAGTTTCATTAAATTCCATTCAGTGGTATACAAGAGATAAGTACCCCCAATGTTGTAGAAAGTATTCCAGTATCCATAATTTGCTAGGGAAACCCCAAATAACTGTCCAATCAAAACGATAAATAGGAAGATTACAATAGCATTATTTAATAAAAATTCTGTAAAAATCTCATTAAATTTTATTCATTGGTATAGCAGGAGTTCCAGATAAGAGATGGATACCCCCAGTTTTATTATAGAAAGAATGGCAATGTCCAGGTTTTGCTATTGGAAACCTCAAATATCTGTACGATCAAAACAAAAAATAGGAGGTTCACAACATATTATTGCATAATCTTTATGTAATAAAGATTCTGTGAAAGTCTCATTAGATTTTATTCAGTGGTATAGAAGGAGTTGCGGGTAAGAGATGGGACCGTTATGTTAATGAAAAAATAGTTTCTACATTTTGCTATAGGTAAATTAAACTTATTTAACTGCCCGATCGAAAAATAAAAGCTAGGGAGGTGCTAATCTCGGTGGAGATTCGGCTGGGCTAGATATTTGGACTGACGCCCACCGATGGTGGGCGTCAGTCCAAATATCTAGCCCAGCCGAATCTCCACCGAGATTAGGGAGGTGCACAATCGCACAACGTAATAAAGATTCTGTGAGAGTTTGAATAAATATTGGTATGGGAGGAGTTGCGGACAAGAGATGGATACTCCTCATGTTATAGGAAGAATGGTAGTTTCCATAATTTGCTATGGGTAACCCTATTTATCTGCCCGATCGAAAATCGAAAAAAGGAGGTCCACAGTTGCACTTTGTAACAAGATTCTGCGAAAGTCTGATTAAATATTATTCAGTGTTATGGGAGGAGTTGCAGATAGTAAGACATGGGAACATCCAATGATATAGAAACTAGAGGAACTGTGCGCACTGAGCTCACAAAATGATACCCCCCCCCCCCCCCCCCCCCACATGATTATGATGGCAAAGTCCATGTTTTGCATATGGAAAGACTCGAAATAAGTGTCCGTCCGATCAAAAAGTAAAATAGGAGATGCACAATGGCCCTATGTAATAAAGATTCTCTGAAAGTATCATTAAATTCCATTCAGTGGTATAGGAGTAGTTGGGTAGCCCTCAGTATTATAGAAAGAATGGCACTGTCTATGTTTTGCCACTGGAAACCCGAAATATCTGTCAAATCAAAAAGAAAATAGAAGGTAATCAATGGCTCTATTTAACAAAGATTTTGTGAAAGTCTCATGAAATTTTATTCAGTGGTATAAGAGGAGTTGCGGATAAGAGATGGACGCACCGACAGACGGAGGACAGACAGACACCCCTGTCACTATACACCCGCACTTTTCAAGCGTGGGGTATAATAATGGCAAACCCCAAATATATCTCCGGTTGAAACAAAAAGTAGGAGGTGCACGATGAGATAATATAAATTTACAGTGCAAAAAATGAAAAATTTTATTTTGGCTATAAATATCATAAATCTACGAAAGCCCAGAAGGCTCATTCGAGATTCGAGTTTCGAAATACGAGATTCGAAATTCGAGATTGGAAATTCGAGTTTCGAGATTCAAGATCCAAACTAACCAATCAAAAGGCGGATTCAATGTTTGATTACTTCCCTTTATTAAGTTTTTACTATCAAGAAATCACTGAATATATTAATAACAAATAGGTCATTTGCTTAAATAATAATGCAAGAAAAAATGCTATATGTATCAAAATGAAAATGAATTTTGGGTAACGTTTTGAAAAATATATATAAAATCTTATTTTCCTAATTAAACAAAACAATAAATACATCTATAGAATATTATATGACCTTATAGTTGAATTGCGAAATTAGTAGGTCGATAAATTATTTAATTAGCACATGGATGAGGGAGAAAATTATTATAGATATGGAATACTAAGGATCATCTTTACACTGCACAGTAATTTAATTAAGGATACATTTCATTCATGCATTTTAAGGGTGCATTTGTGCAGTTAGACTGTTCTACTATTTGATATTGAATAAAATAAATTCCAGTCTGTATTGTACATATAATTTTTAATTAATTCAAGTATTCAAAGCCTTAGACCAAGAAGTAATTGAAAACTTATCTTTTATGTATTTCTCCAATTGGGAAACAGTGGTGTGTATTTCCTTCTGCTAATATGTAGGCTAATGTGAAGTCCCAGATTTCACCTAAAGCGCATCATTGCCGAGTTGTGGATAGGCAAGGAGGGAGTCGCCCACTCTCAATAGAGGGGGGGGGGGGGTCGGAAGACCACTTTCTGCGATCTTGGAGACATCTATCATTGTCATTTTTCAAGAGAATATAATTATAAATCATTTAAATATATTTTTATGACACAGAAATTAAAATCTTCATGACCACTCATAATAAAATTGAGAAATTTTAAAATCCTTCACAGTACTTGGAAATTATGGAAACTTCTTTATTGAATAATCTAAATATAATTTTTAAAATGTTTTATGTTTGACTTCCTACTATCCCAAACATATTTCCTAATTTCTATTCCCTGTCCTAATCATAGACTCATGTTGCAATCATTATTTAATAGTCTGATATCGACTTCAAGGTAACATTTCAATTCTAGATTTAACCAGCTATAAAAATCAAAAGTCGTGTATACTGTAAAAATTGGATAGGCATAAAAGTGTGGATCGCTAAAAATACTTTTATTGCATTTGATGAAAAAAATATTCTAGTAACTGGTAAAGAAATAAGATTTATGACCAACTTTACCCCATTTTTCAACCAAATACATGTATAAATAAATTTTATTTTTTTTTTACATCAAGAAAATGATGTATAGGCTACAGCCTTTTCGGCTATATGGAATCTACACCACTGGGAAAGCGAACGCAATTTTTCTTTATCACTACTACGATGTCTTCAAGATTTCCTGTGTACACTAAAAGGCATACATGAACTAAGTAATTTTAATACGTACTGGCGGCAGGGCTCGAAATAATTGATGGCCCGCTGGTCTGAGGCCAGTGAATTTTCAATCTGGGCTAGTCCATTACAGAGGGCATGTGCCCTTTGGGTCAGCATTTTTTTATGCATAAAAAAATTCATTCACAGTCGGGCTAGTTAACTTGGCGGGGTTGTGTGTCTCAACTTCTGCTGTTTTTAGTTTTGTTAAGTTGTACTTCTAAGGATCACAATATAAAAAAAAATTACTACTATTATTATGGTTTTGGGCCAGTCTTTTTAAAATCTACTGGCCCAGTGGGACAGTGAAAGTACTAAGCTGACCAGTAAAAATATAAGGCGATAGCCCGAGTGGCTAGTAAACAAAAATAATTATTTCTAGCCCTGACTGCTTTAGGCTATACGATTTTTTCAAAGTCCTAAAGGTGTATAGAGGGTCCATTGTTTTGTTAAAATAATAATTTTTTTTATCATTATCAAATACTTTTTTTTTTTTAATCTTTTTTTCTCCATTACGTCATGTATTGAAACTTGTGTATTGATTGGCTATGTATCTTGCGAGACCCGAGCGGTTTCCTTATAAATAATTATCGAATATATAATTATTTTACCCATGCATTGCAAGATTGACACTGAATGTTGATTACCGAACATTTGTCTACCGTTGTAATAAAATAAACAACATAGCCATATGACCCTGGGCACGTGTCTCTACCCCCCCCCCCCTACACACACACACACATTCCCCTTATATTTTTCACCGATATAATATACTGTTGAAAATATAGCAACTTTATGCTTGTGTCCTTTCAAAAATAACGTCTAATAACTGTGATAACCCCCTGTTGCTTTTCTTTCGGAAGGGGGGGGGGGCTTTACAGTGATTTTTTTAATAATTATTTCCTATGGGCCTAAACAAATTAAAGAGAAATCATTACTTTTATTAAGCATGTATATTTCAGCCATCCGTACTTAAGGGGCTGTCTCTTGGTTTCACAAACTTGGTCACTGGTCACTTTCTAATACCTTGTCACAAACTATATCCACTTTGAAACCCGTATTGGTCACTGGTCACTTTCTTATACCTTGTCACAAACTATATCCACTTTGAAACCCGTATTACTATTTATTATTTAATAATCGCTAGTCAGTTCTTTTAATGCACACTAATAATTCTCATCGACTACAATACCCCCCCCCCTTTTGCTCTTTGAATCCGTTTAACAATATTTATTATTTTGACATCTGACTTGTAAGCAAAGTAGATATTACGATATAGATATTCATGATATAAATCTATTATAATATTTAAGAAGTTATAATGAATCTAAGCATATTTTGCAGACCAAATACCCAATGTTTTTTTTCTAATTTCGTTCTGATATATATAACACTCTTTCTTGCATTGTTATATAATCAAATGACCTCTTCGTTTTGAATATATTCAACGATTTTTAGAAGGTCAAAACTTAGCAAAGGGGAGTAATTGAATCTTAAACCGCCTTTTGATTGGTTAGTTTGGATCTTGAATCTCGAAACTCGAATTTCGAATCTCGTATTTCGAAACTCGAATCTCGAATGAGCCTTCTGGGCTTTCGTATAAATCCGCATTAAAATACCTATATATAGAATAACTTTTGGCATGCAGTTTTTCTGCTACCCTACAGTTTGTTAGATTGACCCCCAAGAATTTAATTAGGAACTTTCGAAGGATCAATTTCCTAAACAGTTGGCATACAGGAAAACTTGTTAACCAAAAGTTATTCCTTTATAAGTATATTGATGCGGATTTATGATATTTATAGAATCTAGCCAAAATAAAAAATTTCATTTTGCTGATAGTGAAGTTTGTCGGCACGGCCAGGTGTGTTATAGGACCGACGACATCCAAAAATAAGAATAAGGAAACCTTTATTAGCATACCTGTTTTTGTATTTTTATCAAGCAGAATTTATTTTTATACTTCTTCATGAAAAGAAGTCTCTTGTTGGGCCATCGGCCACATTTTTTCAAGTAACAATATTCAGTTTCATTTCTACTATACCCATATCCCACTGAACTCCAAATAAAAGACACTAAAGGATTTGACACATCTGTTTCATATTTGGATATTTTATTAAAGAAATACATTGGTGGCAAACTGACAACCAAACTTTATGATAAATGTGATGACTTCATCTTTTTATATCTTCAACTTTCCTTATTTATGCAGCAATATACCTTTATCACTTGCATTTAGAGTTTATGTCTCCCAGTTGATTCGCTATGCAAGAGCATTTCTAAGTATGAACAATTTCTAAAACAGCAGGCTATTGATAAATAAGTTGATGATACAAGGATATCAACAATCTGGTTTAAAGTCAATACATGTATTGTGCAAATTCTATGGTCGATACATGATCTCGTTTGCCAAAACAATCTGTCGTTAAGTCGAATGTTAATACATGTCTTTCATACAAATTGTTTGGTAATTATTTTCACACTGAATTGTCTACGGAATTTCCCGTTTACCCGATCATGACATAAAGCACATGGAGGGTGTGACCCGTCGACAGGGAAATCGACGACATGACACCTGATGCCAATCTCTGTTTTCAGAGGCCCGAGTTGCTTTTTTGTATTGCTTGAATAGACTTTTGATTTGAGAATGATCATTGTTCCTTATCCTCACATTTCATGTAGGAATATCACTCGGGCATAATATTCATATGAATGCTGAAAAAAAATCTCTGAGTGCTCTGTTTCTTGATAAGTCCACCCTATAAGGATCGTACGAAGTCATTTACAATATGTGGTACATGCCAGTCAAATCCAGATATAGTCATTGTGTGAGGATCCATGAAATCTCCAACATCTGAGTCTTCAGACACCATATTGCAAACTATAAATCGAGAATCATCATTTAGATGAGCTTTTTCAACTTTTTGGCGATAAGTTTTAAAAGCCTGTGCAGGATGTACAAATGATGTTTGAGAGTCTGTGAACATCACAAAAGCATCAATGTGTATGTTGTTTTCAAGGGCGTATTTAAATGGTAGAAATGCATCTGATGTCGATGAGTCGCAAGGCCGTACAAGTTCTCTTATTTTACGTACAATGTCCTCACTTTGATCAGAGGGATCCACGGGTAAATCAACGACTTTTTTGCTCGAGAATACAATTACACGATAATGATGTTCGGTTTTAGCCATTAACATCACCATAAAAGCTGCAGCATCAAGAGCAGATAGTGAAGACATACCCTTCACATATATTTCCTTCGACATAGATTCTGTCACTTCAACAGCTAGGAGCAAGTGTTTCTCTGTTGGTGTGACATTTGAGAAAGACAATGTGAAGCCTTCTTCTAGAGCATTGCATATTTCCTGAGACACAGGCCACGTTAACGTCCCTTCTCTATTACTCCCTTTTTTATATTGATTGGAAGCTACCAAATACGTAATAGGATGAATCCGTCCTCTGGTAATGAGTTGAATGTTTTTAACTTGTCGCAAACTAAAATTTCTTCAAAAGAATTTGATTGGAAAATTTCTAAGTTTGACATCTTCCCAAGGTTTCTAATCATGGCAGTCATAGGCATATGTTTCATCAGAGCTTTCCAAATTTCTTTGTGTTTCAGAAAACGGTTCGGAATTTGTTCTCTGACTAATTTATATTTTAAAATCAACATTTTTACTTCTTCAACATTTTCTGCTTTCCATGCTTTCTCAACGTGGTCGACAAAAGATTTAATCTTTTTTAATACCGATAACTGATAACCCTTAGCCTCTTTTTCAGCTTTCGTGAAATAACACTCATCGGCACGTTTTTTTCCCTTCACAGCAATCATGACAAGATATTTCAAAGCGAAGTTGTCTTCTTTCACCTTAAGATGAGCGAGGCGTATAACGTCTCGGTGCTTCCATCCTCTCCGTTTGGAATATTTTGTCAGATGATATGCCAAAAGTAAGAGGTTTTCTTCTTTTGCTCCATAACTCAGATACCAGTTACATATTGCTTAACAGTGCCCTCTTCCCCATCCAGATGAGTTATAAAGTTGTGTACTAATACTTTTGCAGTACTCAATGAATTTAAACAGATGAGTCGGTATTCTACACACCAGTGGCATCAAATCATAACCCACTCTTTTCGTCTCGCGATTAGAAGACCTGCAGCAAATTGCGAGCGCAAATATCAAATAATCTTGTTTGTAAATTCGATTGTGTTCGGAGCAATGTTTGATTATCTCAACAGCTCTGCGTCCAGATCCACTTTCTATTAATCTGAAAGACCAAAGTGAAACATTTATTAAATTTTATATTCTGATTCTTAACGGATGTCTACCGCCTACCCAAATAGTAACCTCGGTCAAGATCTCGTGACGTTGAATCTCAAAGTAATTACATTAATGCCAAACAACACATGGCGGAAAATATGATCCGAATTATAGCTATCAAAGTTTCACAGTCTATTTCAAGTTTCAATTTAAGGAGGTCAAATTCCAATTCCAACGGGGGCTAAAATAATTATGGAATACTGGCAATATATTGATGATTTCAATGTTACTAGCATTATAAATGACTTCTTCACGCATGTTAACTTCACATAGCATTTGTGATATTTTATGTACACAAAAAAGTGATCAGTGGTTACAATGTCTCGAAAAGTACAAATTTGTAACTGACTGTAAAGTTAGAAACAGAGCTTGAGCTAATGTGTCGAAAGTGGCCATATGTAATGTAAATGTTCATATGCATATAATAGAAATATTTGAAATGTTGTATTGATTATCACAATTTTCTTACTTTGAAATGCATTCTGCGTCTTCTATTTGAATATTTCGATTTCCAGTTCGATATTCATTTCTCGGTGAACCAAAGCGTAAAAAACTGGAAAAGCTCTGTTTCCAGTCCCGCTTTTAATGCTAGTCCCTCAGTCAGGACATGTTGCTCAGGAATATGGATACCATCACTTTCAGGAGACAAAATCTCGCTATCATCTAAATCTTGTCCGGACATTTTTTATGCATGTACTTTCGTTTTAAAAGGGTATGCCAATCTATTTTTAGTTCTTTATAGTCTCCTCTTATTTTTATCTATATTTTATTTAAAGATTGTCAAAAGAAATTTAATTAAGTGTACTAATATATGAAATGACACAATGTAGCTGCTAAACATACACAGTTATGTAAATGGTTTGTGTGATATTGATATTAAAATAACGGTGATAGATAATAAAATTAGGTAGGTTAATCACTAAGTAAATCTTAAGTCAGATGTTAAATATACAATGTAAACACTGTAATAGAATTTTGTGTGTGTGTATATATATATATATATATATATATATATATATATATATATATATATATATATATATATATATATATTCAAAACTGTATAAAGGGATCACTTAAAAGACGGAGAAAAGAATAAAATTATAAACACTAATGAAATAATGAAACATGTGTACATGTAGTTTGAAATTATTTTATTTTATTTCATTTCTATATATATTCGACATAAAGTGCATTATATTTGTTGTTTGATTTTTGGCAATTATTGGGCATATAAAATATTGAAAGTTTACACAATATGTTTGCTTTAAATTTTTCATAGGAGAAAACTGTTTCAAATGAACTAGATTTATGATTTCGTATGATCCGCATTATATTTAGAAATAAAAGCTATTTGCTTTTTTGTCACTAGTTATTTCAAGTATTTTCATGTATATCTTCTTATATTGTTTATCAATATTTTAAATTTTAAGGGGGCTGGGGGGTCAACAAATTAACCATCAGATATAACTGAATTAGTATCTATCATTGTGGGATTTCGAGAAGAAATTCTTGACAAACTAAGCGAATTATCAGAAACATTCAGGAAACAAAACGAAATGTTAACAAAAGAAGTACAAACTCTACGTTCAACAGTGCAACAAAAAGACAGAGAAATAAGTAGTCTTAAAGAACAACAAAATAAACTACTCAAGACTCTGGACACTTGTTCTTCAACTCAGAATTCCGCCTCTACTTCTTCATATGCTGACAAAGTGAAATCACCCAGTGACATTCACGTGGAAGTAAAAGAGTCTCAAAATGAAGGACAAGCTGAGAGAATAGTATCTCTTCAAGAAAACGATAGTCATATGCATCGCGTAGAAAGTGACATTTCTAATAAAATTCGAAACATACGAATAGATCAAGAATATCATAACTGTAGAAAGCAATACCCCACACATGCCACGAACACGACAGTCAATAGTAGTCATCCAAACAGAAACCACACGAACAAAAACCTACACAGTAACAATGATCGTGATGATAGCAGTGAAACAGAATACGTATTTCGAGGCGTCAAACCAGGACATCGAGTAAAGCGGCTACTGATGTCACGAGTACAAGCAGACGGAGGAATCGACGTGATCATAGATTCAATCAAACAGTACGCAAAAGTTCGCAACGTGTATATCACGCACATAGCAGTTTTGAAACTCTGGAAACAAAAGAATCCAACATATACACTTAGGGTTAATGTCAGAGTCGAGGATTACGAGAAAGCTTTGCAAGGAAGCTTTTGGCCAAGTGGCATATTAGTTAGACCCTGGCAATCACAGTACTCACGCGAACGTAACCACAACACCTACAATGGTTAAGTGTTTCCCAGCTATTATAAACGCGCTAATTAGTATTCATATAATGTTGCGCATAAAATCATGGAACATCAGAGGTATCATGTACGGTACACCATACTTGTCAAAACTCTTGAATGACACTGACATTTTTATTGCTGTAGAGCACTGGCTTCTACCGGAGCAAATCCACTTCCTAGACTCTATTGACTCTAGTTTTAATGCGTACGGTATCTGCGACAAGCGTATATTCATTGAACCGGAAAGAAGAACCCGTTCGGCAGGTTTTGGAGGCATTGCAATTATGTGGCGAAAAGGCTTACCTGTGTTCCCAGTCGAACGTGATTGTAATGATCGCGTGGTAGTCGCCGTTGCTAGATGCAAGAACATTGAAATTCATATAATCGGTGTTCTATTACCGTCAACTAACTCAACTCTAGAAGAATACAGATTAGTGTTAGAACATGTAGAAAAACTGTATGACGCTTATAGTTCAAATGGACCTGTTATAATTCTCGGTGACATCAATGCTCATTTATCAGATAAATATGGGGGTAAAAATCGCGTTAAATCCAACGAACGCGGGCGGATCATCGAGGAATTTATGAATGAACGTAGACTTGAGTCTGTGACAAGCCAAAGCAATACTACCGGTCCAGCTTATTCCTATGTTGCTCACAATGGAGAGCATACGTCTTTGATAGACCACGTGTTTGTTGCACAGGATAAACTAGATTTTGTAAGGACCACAGGAATAATTGAAGATCACTATCTCAATTGCTCTGACCATCTTCCGATTTTTATTAACATCTCTCTCGAAGGTAGATTGCCTATCAAAACGAAAATTCATGGTAACAACCTTGGTATCAACTGGAGTAAAGTATCAGATGATAACGCATGTACATACAGACAGTTAGTTAGAGAGATGATCGACAGTATCACACTTGATGACTTTTCAGTAGCTGGCATTGAGGAGTACGTCGATAGAATTACAAAATCTCTCATAAATGCTGCTGAGCTTTCCTTACCAGTAAAACGCTACCGTCCTTACCTTAAACCGTACTGGAATCATGGAAATGTCAAGGAACTACATACCAAGAATAGACAGAAAAGGAAATCTTGGGTAGACGACGGTAAACCCCGAGGCAAGGAACACGCTTCGAACAGAGACTACAAGCAAGCAAAGCGCCAGTTTACAAACGCCTTAAAGCGGGCCCAAAAGCAGTATGAACAAGAACAATTTGAACGTCTACAAGAAACAGCAGAAATAGACATAGGGTTGTTCTATCGGACTATTAGGCGGCGTAACAAGAAATCTTGGACTTCTCACGAACTGCGTGTCAATGGCGAAATCGTTCGGGATCCTGACATTATTCGGAATGCTTGGTATACACACTACAAAGGATTAGCAGAAATAAAACAAGATTCGTCTTTTGATCTTGAATTTGAGAATACCATCTGTCAAGAGGTTTCTAAAATGCACTCGACCTCAAGGGATAACTGTGATAGGATAAGCGAAGCGTACATAACCGTAAACGAAGTGACTTCAGCACTACGTAAAATGAAAAACGGCAAAGCTCCAGGATTTGATGGAATTGCAGCAGAACACATCAAGCTTGCAGAAGATATTTTACTCAGACCTCTTGTAAACTTATTCAACGCAGTTATGGAAATAGAAAGTTACCCTCGTCAGTTTAAAAAAGGAGTGACTATAACACTTTTTAAAGGAGGTAACAAAGACAAATTGGACGTGAACAGTTATCGTGATATAACCCTTATGTCTGTTCTACAAAAACTCTTTGAAAACATACTATACGCAAGAATACAGAACTACAACAGCGAAATATGCTTTCCCCATCCCCTGCAACAGGGATTTAGACCAGGATGCGGCAGTATAATGGCAGCATTTGTCTTAACCGAAACTGTGAATCACTATCTGGAAAGAGATTCAGATATGTACGTAGCATTTCTGGACAACGAGAAAGCTTTTAACAGTGTTTGGCACACGGGTTTGTTTTATAAGCTGTTTCACGTCGGTATAAATGGAAAAGGATGGCGTCTCCTTTTTGACTCTTTTCAGAACACAACTTCTCGTATATTATACGACGGAAAAATGTCGGATGAATATGTCTTAAAGCAAGGAGTTGGGCAAGGAAGAGTTCTCTCCTCTTGGTTCTTTCTACTAATGATAGACGGTCTTATCTGTGAATTAGATCATCTCAATATCGGCCCTCGGGTTTGCGATCTACACGTCCCTTGCGTTATTCTTGCTGACGACACCTCGCTGTTCTCAAGTACTCCAACCAAGATGCAAAGACAGCTGGATGTTGTATCCAACTACGCATCGAAATGGAGATTAACATATAATCCTCTCAAAAGTTGTATAATGTACTTTACAAGTAAGCGTAATCGCAGACAACCCGATGCAGAGAAAAACTTTCATCTGGGAAAAAATAATGCGCGTATAAACATCACAAATGAAAACACGTACGCCGGGATCAAAATATCCGACAAGCTCACAAGTGAAAACGCTATTTCGCAAGCATGCAACAAAGGACGAAAAATAACGAACTCCCTGATAAATATTGGAGTGCACAAACACGGTATGAACCCCCTTTTAAGTTCCAAACTATGGAATACTGTTGTTGCACCAGCCGTCTTATATGGCTGCGAAATGTGGACAACCATTCCAAAGAAGTCATTAGAGAATCTTGAAATATTACAAAGATTTGCAGCACGCAGGATTCAAGGATTCGATCGACAGTCTCCATCACCATGCACTATATACTCGTTGGGACTCATAAAAATGGAAAAGATTATTCAGAAGAACCAGCTACTCTTCTGGAACCGTCTTTGTAGATCTAGCTACGCATTGTTCTCTGAGCGTCTATTTATTGCAAGGTTGTGTTCTTTCTCTGATAATACACTTCAAAAGAAACGCGGATTTATAGACTGTATTTATAAGATAATGAAAAGTTACAATATAGAGTACTTCTTCAGTGAGTACCTCATCAATAGAGAAACACCGTCAAAACCAAATTGGAATCAGTACATCAGCAATCTTATAAACCTCTCTTCTTATGATGAATGGAGAATCTCACTTGGAGGCCGACCAGAACTAAATCGTTTCGCGGAAGTACATCAAGAACTTACACCCCATCCACTTTGGACGCTTAGTCTCCAGCACCCAGAATTTACTTGGAAACTATTCGAACTCATAAATCTTTCAATTACGTATGAGACGGAAGAAGTAGTGTGCAAAATGTGCAAAAAAAGTACACAGGATATCGTTTTACATTTTATTTTAGACTGTCCAAATCTGTTTAAAAG